GGAGAGTTGTTAGTTCGATTTGCTAGGGCTACTTCGTCCCTCTACCGCTTATATGGAAGACACGAAATGGAAGTGTTGAGACATGTTGGATCGATCTCACTTCCCATGAGGATGATATTCGAGGAATATGGACTTCCCGGCCCAGAAGATCCTGCCTGGAAGGCACTAGCCAAGCTCTGGGCGAGGCCATGGTTTCGGCGTGTGTGGGTAATTCAGGAATTTGTCCTCTCCCCGGATGTCCGCATGTTCTGTGGCGAATGGGAGGTCAGTTGGTCAGTGTTCTATGTCGCTACGATCGACGCATACATGACATCCTCCTTCTCGGTTGTTCCAGATATACCGAACGCTTTCAACGACGCAGCAACGCACATGGGAACAGAAGCCATGCACATGATGTGTGAGTACCGTCGATCTGCACTACTAGAGACATTGCCCGTCTCAGATGCTGATAGTATGCGAATGTTGACTATAAACCTGGATACAATGGTGTATGAGGAGCAAGAGGAGTTTAACTTGGCGAGAGAGATGGATCGGAAGCTGGGGCTGCGGGTCGATGTACCCCTTCTTGATCTGCTCGCGTTATGTGACAGGAGCAAAGCTACAAGAGCTCGCGATCATCTGTTCGCAGTCCTCGGTCTATCCAACGCAGCTGACAACGACCTTTTCCGAGCAGACTACTCTTCAACATTTGACGAGATAGTTAGGCACTTTGGCAAAGCGTTTGTACGCAAGGGACAGTGTATGGACCTCTTGTACCAAGCTCGATTAAACATTCAATCCTCGCGGTTTCCGTCCTGGATCCCTGATTGGACCACGAAGTTTGTTTTCATGGGCGATGAAATTGACTATAGCAGCTTGGGACTGAATAGTGGTGGATTGTATGCCGCCGCTGGCAATACTGAGTGCGTACCCTGGGTTAGTGATGACCCAAAGGACGACTGCCTTGTAGTTCGAGGGAGGTTTGTCGATAAGTTGAGCTGGGTCGGCGGTGATCATGTCAAACACGGCCCCATACATGGTCTAATCCGCCGAATCCGACAATCTTATGATATTATCGCCGAGCTTGAAAAGACTTCGGATTACTACGTGACTGGTGAGTCACTTAGAGATGTATGGTGGCGGATGCTCGTGGCGAACAAGACAAAGGGATTTAGTTCCATCTCTCCAGATTTTGGAATCGGAATACGTTCCAGATGGAATGTAATTCCTGCTTTGTGCAATTGGCTCTTATCATCGCCTGCCGAGGAAGCCAAGGAACAACTTGTTGCAATCATAGGCCTTCCGTACTACAAGGCCATATACTCTTGTTACACGGTATACCAGATCGCCAAGACGGAGAAGGGAATGATTGGTCTTGTGCCGCTTCTGGCAGAAGCTGGCGATCAGATATGCGTCCTCAACGGCGGTGCAGTGCCATTTGTGTTGAGGAAAGGGAAGCGACTCCGGAATGGATGTCGGTTGGTGGGAGAATGTTATATCCACGGGCTCATGAATGGCGAGGCGATACAGAGTCGATACGAAGAAAGAGATGTCAGGTTGTATTGAGATATGGTAGAGATGTATTACTATGCTGAGGGTCGGTGTTGTTACCCATGATGGATTTAGGCCAAGAGTCTCACGGCAGCTCGACCGCAGCGGAAATTCCTCTACGCCAGAAATCATTCATGCACCATGACTAATTCGTTTTCAGCTCAAAAGCTCTATTAGGAAGCTGGCTAAAAACCAAGGTTTAAAACTGTCAGAGATTGCTGATCACTACTTCAATGGCTTAGCTCTATCACTGTCGACTAATACCCCGCCCTCAACATGAGCAAGATTACGATGTCGGGTTACACCCTCTTATCGAGACTATTCTGCATGTAACCTTGGTACGAGTAACTATTATCTAAGCGGAGAAAACGGCACGCCTTGGTGATGACGATCGTCATGACGATCTTGAGCTACAAAAGCAAGCGATGCGCTTCTCCCAAGCACTACCTCAGTCGACACACTGAAGTCAATTGCTGACAATGGCTCGTTTTCCGACTTGGGTTGCTCTGCTGAGCCTAATTGCGCAAGGCCATGGCCATCCATGCGATGTGAAGTACCCCCCTCAGATGAAGCCAGTAGAGACTAGGCAATTCAGCAAAAGCCGCGGCGCCGTTGCCTGTGAGAGTGAGATATGCAGTACGATTGGCATAAATATCCTGCGGGAGGGCGGCAATGCAGCTGATGCCATGGTCGCCACCGTTCTTTGCGTGGGAACAGTCGGTGAGTGGACCTTGCTATTATTGACCACGTTACGCTGAGACAAGTGCAGGAATGTACCATTCTGGTATCGGAGGAGGTGGCTTCATGCTCATTCACAAACCCGATGGCAAGAATGAATCCGTGCCCTACGAATTCGTCGACTTTCGCGAAACAGCGCCTGCAGCAGCCACGGAGAATATGTTCAAGAACAACGTGAACGCTAGTATTTATGGAGGACAAGCGAGGTATAAAACACCCTGGAGTGCTATGCTAATGACTGACAGTCTTCTAGTGGCGTACCCGGTGAATTGAGAGGTCTAGAACACTTGCACAAGAGCTATGGTCATCTACCTTGGTCGAAGCTCGTTCAGCCAGCAATTGACGTCGCCCGCTACGGATTCCCAGTCAACAACGATACTCTCAAGTTCATGAAGATGACGTACAGCAAGGCCGAAAACGAAAGCTTTCTCTTCAGCGATCCAGCGTGGGCAATTGACTTTGCACCAGCTGGAAGACTACTCAAATTTGGCGAGAAACTCACACGGAAAAGATATGCAGATACGCTTGAGACCATTGCTTCCAAGGGAGCCGGTGCCTTCTACGAGGGACCTATTGCCGATGCGACTATCAGGACTTTGAAGCAGAAGAAGGGTATCATGACGACGGCTGATTTGAAGAACTACTCCGTCGCGATTCGAGAGCCTTCTCAGATCAACTACCGAGGTGGAAAGATTACCAGCGGATCGGCCCCTTCAAGTGGTGCCGTCGTCGCAGCTGCATTGAACATTCTAGACGGTTATGACTTCCTCGGTGATCCTAGAAGAGTCAATGACAGCGCTTATCTGCTTGACGAAGCATTCAAGTTCGGCTACGGAATGCGAAGCAATCTCGGCGACCCAACGTTTGTCAAAGGCCTAGTCAAGTATCAAGCTGAGATGTACTCCAACGATACTGCGCAGGAAATCCGTGCCAAACTAGATGGGCGTGCTCTGGCAGTTAAAGATTATGACCCCAAAGGTCTTGAGAGCCTAGACACTCCTGGAACTTCACACATTGTTACCATGGATAATTCCGGACTTGCCATCTCCCTCACGACTACGATCAACCTCAACTTCGGGTCGCAAGTCATCGTTCCCGAGACCGGGGTTATTATGAACAACGAGATGAACGACTTTAGTATCCCTGGACAATCAAACGCTTTTGGATTCATTCCCAGCGAGGCCAACTTCATTAAACCCGGAAAACGCCCTCTTTCTAGTATAAGTACCACCATTGTCGAAGGGCCTGACGGAAAGGTTTCGTTGGTGACAGGTTCTGCTGGTGGTAGTAGAATCATCACAGCTACTGTACAGGTGGTGTTGAATGCGCTGGAGAAGAACATGACTGTTCATGATGCCCTGGCTGCGCCTCGCCTTCATGATCAGCTTGAGCCGCGACAAGTCACCTTCGAATATGCTTATGACAATTCCACGGTTGCATATTTGAAGGAGATTGGAAATAATGTTACGTGGGTTGCGCCTGGACAGAGCACTGCTCAGGCTTTGAGAAGATTGCTTGATGGAACATTTGAAGCTGCTGGTGAGCCCAGACAGGCGAACTCAGGAGGATTCTCAACTTAATGAAGTCTAATAACATATATCGAGTTTGGGGTAGTAATGTAACTAGTATCCGCATACGTGAACATGGAAGTCATGAACCTAGCCTTTAAAGCTTCCATACCTCCAAGTTGCGATATCGAGCAACAAGAGGATTCATCTGTCTGAAACCAATCCGTCCACCACGAACAACAGGTCCAGTCGATCGATCCACATCCTCCCATGAGAATAATTCCAATCCATTAATCGAAAACTTGACATCGCGCTTGTCGTGAATAACCTCAACCTTGTAATAAGCGCCCTGAGTATCCTCCACGTTCGGCAGCGGATCAGCCCCCTGCGCAACAAGGTGAAATCCAGGCGACTTCCGCAAATTGGCGAGATGGAAAGCTCTCTCCTCAAGCCATCGACGTCGAAAGTACGAAGCATGCAGCGTTCGGATATCGCTGGAGTGATACTGCGGGTAAGATCCGTTTCGGGGTTTGAGATCCTTGTCGAAAATGCTTCCGCCGTCTTTGGCGGCTGCTGCGCCGAAGAATATGATTGCCAAGCCTGGTTCTTCGATGGGCGAAAACTCCCAGGTGATCCGGATGCGTTCGGGAAAGACTTCGGGGACCCAGTAGACAAAGTCTCCCGGGGCAGCTAGTTCGAGAGTGTTGTTGGAGACGGTAGCCTTGACGGGACCTTCGGCGACCCAATCTGAGATTGCGTCGGTGTTGTTGAAGGTATTTCTGTAGAGGAGTTTTTCGGCCATGGCGGAAGCGGCCAGAAGAGGGTAGAGGAGAAGACTTCGCATGTTGATTTTTGAGGGGGGAGTATTTCCACTGACTCTGGACTAGGAGTATTGGGTAATTATCTGTGATTATATAGATTTTTATTTTTGTATTGCCATATTAATTCCCGATGTGCTCATACTTTAATTTCTCTCTTCGGGGGCAAATGTGCCGAGATGGGCAGACGCGATCCTATCATCGTCAAGGATCTGACAGCGGATATGCTACTGCATTGAGCTTAGGTACCACCATGTAATGCAATTCGATCATTTGAGAGCAAAAGACGTGATTTAACAGTCAGTGCCGATCCTTCTGATGAATTGAGTTTATCCCCGAATTTCCACCAATAGAAGCGTTCATGTTCCTCGATGTTGTCCCGAGTCGTGATACCGAAATATCAGATCTAGCCTTTCTTCTTTTGACAGCTGAGATTAATGAACCATTTCGGAAGTTCGTTTTTCACTTTGGCAGAGTGGTTGAGAATCGTAAGTATATAACTAATTGAGCTATGCATGAAAGAAGGTAAGATCAAGATTATTGTTAATAAACTCCAAGTCCTGTGGAAGCTATGTCGGTTTTATTAGTAAAGTCGATAAGAAGTCATTAACTCTGACCTGCATACCATCGAGCTTATAAGATCGGTCATAATATCAGACTCCATATAGCTTGCATCAATTGATAGCTGATTCGCATGTGACCCACTATCGTCACTTCACAAATCAGTATGGGGTTTTCAGTGCATCTCAAGAGACTTCACTTACCAAGCTTCAGAGAATGCTTGTTCGTGTCGAATAGCTGCTTCCCGTGTCTGCAGAAGTGTGCAGAGTTTAATCACTCGCTCTCCAGCCTCTTTGTCCGATTTTGCGGATGAGTCTGGGCATAACTTGGATTTAATTAATCCAATTGTCATACTGAGGATATAATATTCGTTTAGGCCGTTCAATGTGAGAGAAATCCGCCTTTCAAGAATATCCAACACCTTCTCAACATTTTCGACAAGTAGTGCTGAAACTTGAGGGAATATTGTTATAGTGCTTCGATTGCAAGCTTCACGTACTCCGTATATAAGCTGTCATTCGTTCTTTCAGCACAGGGGAGAACAATGTTTCTTACCTCTTAATCCAAAGTTCAGGTAGATTTCATGGCAGATGCTCAACGCTGCAAGTACTAGTCCCGTCCTGCATGCCTGTTCTGGCAATGCCTCGTTGTTCAAAAGTCGTTGGTAGTAGTCAAGAATTTTCATCGACGCCTCTAATCTTGCGCGTCGACAGATGACAGCTTTAGATGAGGATGGGCTGTGTACCACGAAGTGGAAATACAGTAAAAGGATGGGCTGGTGCAGGACGATACCGAGCATGCTCTTTATATATGTCGCGGTCTGATGCTGTCGCGGATCAGCTTGGGGACTGTCAAATGCCGGAATGTCTCCGAGTGCCTGCCCTAGCTCTTCCTCCAGTTCTAAGACCTTGTCAAAATTGACCTCTTCGCAACTTGCATTGATGAAGGTGCATATCTTTATCCTGGTAGGTAATGAGCCATAGAGAAGTGCTTGGAAAGAAGTGTTCGTCAGTTCAGTAATCGGCTTGCTCGCTAAAGGGCCTTGCATAGACTCTTTAAGCCTTTCGTCATCGACATTGAGGGGTGGCCTGATATTGAAATCTCCTATTCGGACACTAGGAGGCATTCCGCGTTCTATCGATGCCTGGAGATCCAATTCGACAATCGTGACCCACAATCGTCGGCGCATCTCTCGATCAAATGGCGACATTCTTGCTGCGGAGATGACTTCGCGGTGGTAACCCGCTGCCATGGCCCATCGTACCAAGGCCCCGGTAGAAGTCCAGAAGGAACCCTCCTTGAGGAAGTTTGCACGCTTCGCAATGAGTAAAAGACAATGGGTCGCCAGGGTATCCAAAGAACGAGGAGGTTGGTTGGAGTGAGAACTGACCCATGCTTCCGCTGCCTCAACCCATTTGATAACGTGATCATGATTTGTCTTGTGGCTGAATACGTCGATACATACTTCGGGATGACAGCTTATAGCAGTAGCGGCGACTAAAAGCATCTGTACAAGAAAAGAGGCCGGAGCGCTAGACTGATCAGTCCAGTGACTGTTATACTTGGTGATAAAAGTCGGTATGTGTAAGATCCGATGGGTTATCTCATATCGGTCAATGTAAGTTTGAACCAGTACATCCATGATTGACTTTGTTGGTATTAGCTCTCTCAAAGTATTCTCCAGCGCATCGTCTGGTAAAAGCTGGCGACGCCGATGTTTGTCGTTGAAGGGAGCATAAATATCATCGCGAAGAGTGTTGATGGACGGATATTGGGCCTTGACCTTGATGATGTATGGCCGAAGATCGGCGAACTATTTCAAATAAGGGAATGTTATCCCTCGGATCAAGTGGGAACATACCTGTTGGTAGAGGTTTAGGGGATAACTATTCCCGTAGAATTTGGTAGAGTCCCCCTGCCCTTCCAAGTGTGTCATGTCGACTTCGTGGCTAGTAGAGGCCCCATGTTTGTCAAGAGTCTCTGTTGACGAACGCTCCAAAGCGAATGATGCTCCCGAGGGGCCATTGTTGGATAGCCCGTGAGCCGACGTATGTCGCCCTTTGTCTCCACGGTAGATGCATTCGTCGGCATTTCCGGCCCTTGAACAACGACTACAAGCTGGGAGCTCTCTGCCGCACTTGAGCTTCCGCTGATAGCACTGAACACAGGCCAATGGGGGTCGTCTTTTCTTGGCCCCTGGTTTCACCACGCGCTGCGAATTGGTCGGTAATCGGTCCATTATAGCGGGGATGATAAATCTTCAGATTCTGGAATCTTTTGCTCTGGGAGATGAAAGATCAGAAATTGCCGAACACAACATCTTATGTTCTCTCGTGTAGCGTCGGATACGGGCTCGGCATTTTCGGGGCTCGGTGATCTTTGGGCTCGGCCTTTTTCACCGGCTAATGTAGAGGCCTTTTCTAACTTCTCACTGCTTACCGCACGCTGACCATTCTCGTGCTTATGTGACGTGTAAATCTTTAGTTAGCTTGGAGAAGCTGGGGTAAGGGAGATGCCCCAGATTCTGCATCCGGGGTACTCACAAAGTATATAAAGTTGAAGCAGACCCTAACGCGACAATGCTTTTTACCCACGTCAAACATTGATGCTTTTATCTCATCTACCAAAGACCTCAACAGATATTCACTGAAGCTGCGCAAACATGTTATCAGCTGAAGATGATCCTCTGACAACGTCTGTCATTTCCTCCTTTGGGCCTAATAGCTCCCCCAGATCTCGGGAGATATTGACCGGGTTGGTCCGATATCTCCATGCCTTTTGTCGTGAAGTCAATCTCACCACAGGAGAGCTATACGTTGCCATTGAAGCTTTGAACAGGTCTGGTCAGATGAGCAATGCTGAGCGAAATGAGAGCTTGTTGATCTCAGACTGTCTTGGCGTGGAAGCGTAAGTTCTGGTCTTCTACTTTTTACTCTTGGGTCTAATTGTTATACCAGACTGGTCGATACTCAAACACAGAAAATGCTCGAGCAAGATAATGGAACCAACTCTTGTATTCTCGGCCCATTTTACGTCGCTGATCCTCCTCGTTATGAAAACGGAGATACCATTATCCAGAAATATCTCGGAGGAGAAGTAACTTACTTCCATGGTCGGATTCTAAATGCTGATACCAACAAACCCGTGGAAGGTATGCCTAATGGGCGAGTCGCTGTCATATCATTAAGGTCGCTAAGACAATCTGCAGGTGCTTCTCTGAACGTCTGGGAGTGTGCAGTCAATGGGTTGTATGATCAACAGGATCCCAATCAGCCGCCTGGAAATATGCGAGGCATGTTCACTTCTGATGCAGAAGGCAAATATTCTTTCTACTGTATCAAGCCGGTCCCTTATCCTGTTCCTTATGATGGCCCCGCTGGGGACATTCTCAAACTACAGCGGGGCCATTCTCAAACTAATGGATCGCCACCCCTACAGGGCTGGTCATATCCACTTCATGGTGACCAGGGATTCATACAACCGCCTGATTACGCAGGTTTTCCCTGAGGACGACACTTATCTCGACTCCGATTCCGTGTATGCCGTCAAGTCAGATCTGCTTTTGAAATTCAACCCTTATAAGTCTGGCTCGCTGAAGAGTATTGGGGGTGACGACGTCGATGTGAAGTGGGAAGTCAACTGGGACTTCAAGATCAAGAAGCAGAAATATTAGTTAGCTTTTAATCGAGACTTTAGACATCGAAGTAGTAAAGTGTGTTCATTACATCACGCATCTTACCTAATGGCTGTAGCAGCTGTTGGGGGCCTTTTATCGCCATTGGCCTAATCAGTCTTGTGTTACGGAAACTTTTAGAAGGTCTTGGCGTTAAGGCTGAATGATCAATACGCAAGTAAGCCCCGTTTGTCACCTTTGCTACACAAGGCAGAATTACTGCAAAGAAGTTCTCCTCTTAAGGAGATCATAAAACCACAAGTTTCTATAGTGTCTCTGCTACCTTGATCAACCTTCTCTTGCTTGGACAAACTCACCAAAGATGGCGGACCCGAACGAATCATCGCAGTTTTTACTCCAACCTTTGAATTTTGGAACATCGACGTCACCTTGCCCGAGCACTGGAATGGCTGCGTATGACATGGCCCAAAGTGATATCTCTGATAGAAGACAAGATGAGGCGTCTTCGGTTACTGGTGGAAATCATGGGCATGACGAAGCCACAGGAGGATGGGATAATGAACACGCCACGGAGGCCTGTACCGAGATCACCGGCCTTTTGATCCGGGAGACTGGAAAGGATGACAACACTGGCTCCGCAAAGAATCATCAAAGAAACATTTTTTTAGTCTGGAGCCTTGAGTTGGGCCTCCTCCTATTGGCAATCGGGCTGCTCGGATCCATTTTCGCTATCCTCGGCGCGTACAACACTCATGAGTTGCCTGATTGGAATGGCAAGATAGGAGTTGGCATCACACTCAACGCTCTTATTGCCGTGATTGCTACCATCTTCCGCTCAGTCATAGTCTTCGTGGCCTTGGAGGTCTTGGCTCAGCTGAAATGGGACTGGATCTCAAAGACATTCAGACCCGTGGGCGATATGCAGCGCTACGACGATGCGTCCCGAGGCGCATGGGGCTCACTGATGCTTCTTCCGGTTGTGTTTAAGCGCCAACCGCAGGCCATCATAGCCGTAATAGTCGTTGTTGTTTCTCTGGCCATTGGACCTGTAACTCAACAGTCAATACAGCCGTACTATTGCGCTCAGCTTGCACCAGAACGGTTGGCGACAATCACTGTAGCCAACGAACTCGATGAGGACCTTTTCTATTACCAGGAGCGCCCGTCATCATGGAAACTTCACGTCGGACTGAAAGCCGCAATCCAGGATGCCGTGGTTAATCCTTCGCAGAGCTCAAATGCTGACGGCCTCTTCGAATGTCCTTCAGGAAACTGTACTTTTCATGCCTATTCCGACCACCCTGGGCAGCCTGACGAGGAGCGGGTTTCGCATGCCAGTTTGGGTATGTGCAGTCGTTGCGAGGACATTTCAAGTCTTGTAAAAGTGAGAGTGGATCGTAATGCCGAAACCGACTTGCATCAAGCTATACTGAGTATGGGCGTGCCATCTCGAGATAATGAATCGGATCGTATCGAGATCAGTTCGGGCACCTCATCTCAAAGCGCACGGTATTTGGAGTCCAAAATTACCGAGGACTTTTGGTGGGCGGACAAAGCATTACCAAAAGACTTCCTCAACACTGCGCGTTGGTCAGCAGCGAATTTGACTATACTAGCTTTCTCGCAGCAAAACTGTCAAAACAATACTGACGGCAGTATGTCGTGTCCCCTAGTCGGTGGTAGGGAAAAGGCCAAGGGTCCTGTGGCCTGGGGCCAACCAACTGGCTACATTGCCGCTGCGTGCATCTTGTATCCATGCCTCAAATATTATGCTGGCACTGTGAACTTGGGGTCGTTCTCGGAGCGTGTCGTCAGAAGCACACCGTTGCGTGTACAAATCCCAAAAGTTCTTGAGGACTCATCTGCTAAACTTGCAGCTAATGAGGTTCCCCAAGGCTTGGCGGGCGTTCAATATCCTTGTTTTGTCAACGGTACACTATACACCTCGACGAATATGACTTCAGAATCCGAGAAGCTTCCAGAAGACGCCACACGAAGTGTCTTCATTCATCGCGAAGGCTGGGAGAACCATAGCCTCCACGAAGCCATTGGCTACCGTATCGTCACTGCTCCTCGCGAATGCGTCATTTCACTCCGGCACCTATTCATTTATTCTTTGCGGCGGAGTCTTTCTGAGGCCTTCAACGCGTACTGCAGACCTGAAGGCTTCCAGACCAACTTCGTGTCCTGTTACACAGATACCGAGGCGAGCTCATTGCCTATGATATCTATTCTACGCCCCCGTTCCACAAATATACACACTATATCAGAGTCGATGGATTCCATGGCCATACGCCTAACGACAGAATTTCGACGTGCCGGATTGAACGCCTATGGCAATTCTAGCGCGATCGTTCAAGGTCAGGTCTGGGAAAACAGATCATGCCTCAAGGTTGCCTGGGAATGGCTAGTGTTGCCAGCAGTGCTATTATCGATGTGCATTGTGTCGATAGTTTGGCTTATCATCAGTGACCTACTATGTAGACGCAACGTCGTCGCATGGAAGGGTTCGATTCTGCCATTCCTGCTCAACCATCAGGTACCTATATTGGAAAAGATGAGTTTAGGAGAACTGGACTTGGCTAGCAAGAAGTTCGAGATCAAAGTAGAAAGGTAAAGTGAAGCTTTATTCAAGACTAATCTATCTTCATCCGAGATGATGGCGTTTAGGGGACAAATGTTTCTTTGCAGCCGTTAGTTATTGAATAGAGTCTCTCGATCAATCTTGTCCAACAACTTCCCATCCGTGAACCAAACATCCATTGCCTTGGCCATTCCCTCAACGTAGGCCCGAGGAGCATCATCTGACATGGCCTTGACAAGCAGATCCTGCGACATTTCGTTCGTGTTGTCAGCTCGTCCAGTGGCAACCACTTTTTCCTCGTATCGAAGGACAGCAAGATCCAAATCATCTGGATGCTCCTTGATTTCATGGAAAAGATCAAGTGCATCCAACATGGCCAAATTCGCACCCTCTCCTGCAAACCAAGACATCACGTGCAGAGAATCTCCGATCAGGGTCAATCCCGGGTGATGATCGTATCCAAGACCCAGTGGCATGCGATATTGGGCACGGGGAGTCATGTTCGTATCGACATTGCGAATGACATCCTGGAGACGAGTATCCCAGGTGGAGAAGAAGTTATTGATCAGATAGTTGGTCATTTTCTTCGCATCATTCCAGTCGAATGCGGGGTCCTTTGAGTGCCAGTTCTCATCGACTCGGAGACAGGGATAGACTCTCACGCTTTCATCTCCATTACGCTGGATGAAAATGCCACTGCCTTCAGAAAGGAAGAATGAAGTGCCTCGGCCAATGAACTCTCCAAGTTCTGGGAATCTCTTGTCCACATCGGAGATACGGCAATCAATGACCGTAAGTCCTGTGTACTCAGGCGTCCAACTCGTCAGAAGCGGTCGTACCTTGGACCAAGTCCCATCAGCCCCCACAAGAAGGTCAGTCACAACCGGTTCAGGCTGGTTCTCAAAAACCAGCTTAACCCTACCGTCCTCTTGCGGAACGATATCAGAGAGTCGATGATCCCACTTGATGTTCTCCAGGTCGAGCGACTCAATAAGAATCTTTCGAAGCTTTGCGCGGTCTATCTCTGGGCGGCCCTCTGCATCAGGAGTTGCCTTGTGGAATAGCCAAGCAACGGCTTTCTTGTCCCCAAAACGATAGTCCTGGTCGTGATAGCGCGCGTACTTTTTGAACTGCTCCTCAAGACCAGCCTCAAATAGAGCAGCTTGACCGGACTCTGGATGGAGGTCGAGAGAACCGCCCTGGAAGCGGGAGCTAGTGGACTTCTCTCGCTCGAAAATGGTGAAGGGAATGGAGTGGTGTTGGAAGAGCGCTGCGAGGCTTAGACCAGATGGTCCTGCTCCAACAATGGCGACGTGCTTGGGCATGATGATAGTTATATGATGATTTGTTTTTACAGATGTTATTAGATTGTTGCTCTGTCCTGTATTAAACTCCGTAGATGTGCAATTAAAGGGCCTTATATAGACTTCAATTTCGGTTTTCCTAACTAGATTTCGGACCTAACACTGGAAAGTTGACTAATACGCAACGTGGCTCTTCGAGAGAAGTTCCTTATTGTATTGCACAATAACCAAAATTCCTGATTCTCGGTGATATGTTTGATGTGTAACTCGAAACCCGGCATCCGATGATGTCGGCCTTTCGGCTTCACACGTCCCAACTTTCGGCCTTTTTTTTATCTCGGCAAATTCTGTCCAACTGTGGCTCAGCTGTTCTAAAACATCAGTGTACGTTCTTAAAAAGGCGCAATCATCCATAATGGGGTCTTTGAATAACACGAAAACCACTCATCGAACTTGGTCACGATGCAGAAACTCACACCGCATGTTGTCATTGTCCCAGCATCTTTTGCCCCGCCATCACTATACTCCAAACTCGTTCAAAGCCTTGCACAATATGCATTAGATACAATTGTCATCGACCTCCCGTCTGTGGGATTTCGTAGCACATTGCCAGCTGCTTCTATGGAAGAAGATGCTGAGCATATCAACACAGTCACAACGAAACTAGCTGATGAGGGCCATGAGATCATCCTAGTGATGCACTCTTACGGCGGAATATGCGGTACAGAGAGTACAGCTGGGGTTTCGACGAAGGAGAGACAAGCTGCTGGGAAGCAGGGAGGTATAGTTCATCTTGTTTATATCAGCTCTCCTGTCCCTGAGATTGGAGGATCAGTCAAGACCATGATGGGCGATAACATGCCCCATTTTATGAAGCTCGAGGTAAATGGCCAGCGTCTTCAGGATTCAAGGTGATAATTAACGGCTAAATAGGGGGAATACCTCATATCTGATCCCGAAGGCTGCGCGAGCGTCAGTTTCTCAGACCTTCCAAAAGCCGAGGCGTTGACTTATGCAAAACAAATGACAGCACATTCAGCGGCTAGTTTTGCTGGGCCACTCAAAAACGCAGGGTACTTGAGTATCCCCGTTGCATATATAGTTTGTGAGAAGGATACTTCTGTCCCGCCTGATGTCCAGAGATCTGTCGTTGATATGATATTTCGAAAGAGCGGACGAGAAGTTATCACATTTTCTTGTGATTCTGGACACTTTCCTACAGTCAGCGTCCCGGGAAAAGTAGCTTCTTTAATCAACCAAGTCGTTACTAGAGTCATTAGAGAATAGTGTTCATAGAGTTGACTGAATCAATGCATCTCGATGCTTTTCAACGATTACCAGATGGTGTTTCCAGCGAGTAACAATTTTTAGCCTATGTGCTGCTTCAGATCATGATACATCTGAACTGAGACAACTGGTACTCTACATAGCCTCAGTCAAAAAGTCACCATATCTAAAACGTTATCAGGTTTAGTCCTGAGTCTCCGCGTGTGCATGTGTACTCATAGATACGAGGTCACGGTGCTCTTCCAAATGACTGGAAACTCGGCATTTTGGCAATGCAATCAATGACTTCCGATCATCTAATAATTGTCTATGTCGGATCGGCTAGAAGATTTAAATTTCAATATGCGGTGAATGTGCAGCTGTCCGGTGAATATGCCGTATACATACCAGGAGTATGCCGAGTAGAATACGCCGAGATAAGCCGAACTCCTACTAGTCCTTTCATACATCCGACAACCTAACTCTGACATATGGCAACTGGATTTAAATTGATTTTTTCCAGACCATTTTTACTACTGGTTCAAGGTAGAGCCTGGTAGGTAAATTGCACAATGGCTGGCAACGCTTCCGACCACGTTTGCGCATCGAAGAACCTTGCGGGCAAGACCGTCATCATAACAGGTGGTGCAAACGGTATAGGAGCCGAAACTGTACGATTTTTCAACTCATATGGAGCGAATACAGTCATTGCCGATCTTGAGCGCACTCGTATTGAGGCTGAATCTGTTATTCGATCATTGCAATATCCAACCTCTGCCCTTTTCATCAGTGTCAACATTCTCCTCTGGGATGAAATGAAGACCCTATTCTCCCAGTCCATACGACACTTCGGCAAGATCGATATTGTTGTAGCCAATGCCGGCATAATGGAGAGTCAAAGTCTTTTCGATGTTGAAAACGGCGACGAGCAGGGAGAATTACATGAATCGACGGAGGGGTTTCGTGTGATTGATGTTAACCTCAAAGGGACCATTAACAGTAAGCCTTCTTCTTACTCTTGATTCTCTTAACTTTTGATTATCATATGACTAATTCATTGCTCTCTTGAAGCGTTGCGGCTCGCACTCCATTACATGCGGCACAACCAACCTATTTCACCTAAAGGTCAAAGAGGATCTGTCATTCTCGTTACTTCAACGTCCGGATACTTTGGCACTACTGGAGTCGGTGCGTACATCACATCGAAACATGGACTCACGGGTCTACTTCGAGCGTCGCAGCAAGTTGCTCGAGGCCTTGGTATCGGAGTCAATGCTGTTGCTCCGTTCTTCACGCCAACGCTTACATTTAAAGAGTTGGTTGAGAAATGGAAGGACTCAGGCCTCAAGTCGAATACTCCAGAAGATGTCGCCCAGGTAATCGCCCTTGCTTCTGCGCGAGATGAGACTGGAAAATGCTACATGGTACGCTCAACTTTCTTCATCCACCTTACCGTGTTGTTCTGACTTTGGTATAGGTCGTTGGGGGAAATTCAGTAGAAGTGGAAGATGGTAGAAACGCATTACTAGATCAGTGGCTTGGACCCGAAATTATAGAGTTGTTGCAATCTGCTAGCACACTCTTCGAAGCCGACGGCTATCCCTTGCCTAAGCGGCGTTAGAAACATTGAGAGACCGGTTACTTAATGCTTAGGTCCACCTTATAACATTGCATAAATAACCTTAATACCTAAAGCAACTTTATTTATTTTATGTTTATATCTACCAACCATTATATGCTGGGAACATCTGTAACATGTTTCGTTTTCCTCTTAAACTTGTCCCTGAGTTTCAGATTCAGGGTAGCTATCGAGTCGTTTTCTGGGGACAGCGAGCTTGGCACAACCCCCAACCCCAGCATGGTAACGTCAACTTGCAAACACAACTGTTATCCAATCGGAAGGCAAGATGGCCGAGCGGTCTAAGGCGCTGTGTTCAGGTTCGATAAGAACTAGTGACGATTCGCAGTCTCGAAAGGGGCCTGGGTTCGAATCCCAGTCTTGTCAGATTCTTTTTTGCAAATCAGAGACGATGATGTTATGCTTTATAATCACGGATGTGAAGTACGCGGTCATGACTTGCTGTTTGTGGCTTGTATACTCGCATACGCAAACAGGCACAGAGATGCAGGGATACAGGGGATAAGGTGGCTGTCAAGCCACTGCGAATGTCCAATTGACATTTTGTTATGCGACAAGAACTATTGCTAGTTGATAACAGTTAAAATTGCAATGTGTCTAATCTCAATGGTCAATATTCTTCCCGGCGTGGAATGTCGAATAAGACATGCACGTGTAGATGACGATAAAAAAGCGCGCAACAAAGCAAGAACCATAATTATTGAGTTAAGCGCACACGTGCTTCAGAACAAGAATATTATGGGGACGAGAGCTTGGCGCCAATTAATTTCATTCCAACAAGCCCCCTTGTAGCCCTTACAACGCGCGGCGCTTTCGGATTTAGCAGTCATACATTGGACAGGGGCCTTTATCTTAGTGCCAAACCTTGTTTTTCCCCCGGTCCCAAGGCACTTGGTGCTTCATCTTTGTGTGAGAGATGCTGATGCCAAGAACCCCCTCCCCCTCGTAGAGTGGTCATCCAGCCACGATTCCATGACGAAACCTGCCAAGTCCGGGTGCTACTTAAGAATCTGAGTGGCCACTTTATGTTTCCTTTGCTAAACATCCCATCTCTTCAGTCTTCTCACCATGATCTTCTCCAGTATATCCCTCCTCTCGTTGTTATCGGGCGCACTGGCCAGTGCCGTCCCCCAAGGAGCGAATACCTGGAAAACTTTACCTTCTATCCCCATTGCGCCCCGGCAAGAACATGGCGTCGTAGCACTCTCGGAAAAGACCCTTGCGATCATCGGTGGAATCGTTCCCAATCGCGAAGCCAATGGCTACGAGACGACTACTCTTATGCAATTCTTCAACACGCGCTCGAATTCATGGCGTCGATACGTCACTGAGGCGCCCGTGAAAGTTAATCATCCCAATGTCGCTGCAGTCAATGGCAAGATCTACCTTCTCGGCGGACTCTCAGATATCGATAATGGCGCTTGGCGAGCATTTTCAGACTCATGGGTCTACAATCCCGACGTTGACGAGTGGACGGAGCTCGACCCGGTCCCCGAGAGTGAAGAGCGAGGAAGTGCGGCGATCGGTGTTTATGGAAATATTATCTACATGGCTGGAGGTATGCGGACCTTGGAGCCAGTTGGACCAGGCGGAGAACAAGACACAGTCGACTTTGTCTCTGCCTTCAACACCAAGACTTTACAATGGATCGATCTTCCTTCAGCAGCAAAGAAGCTCCCTGAAGGTCGCGATCACGCAGCAGCCTCCATCGTCGGAACCAAATTCTACGTTCTCGGCGGTCGTCTCCGCGGCCAACGCAATGTCAAAGACACAGTTTTCATCCTCGACCTAGAAAATCTAGAAGCTGGCTGGACAACCAGCGAAGGCAGAATGCCTACGCCGCGCGGTGGTGCAGTTTCCGGCACAATCGGCACCAAAGTCTACGTTTTAGGCGGCGAAGGGAACACAGCGCCCGAGTCGGAGGGCATGTTTGACCAGATTGAGGCCTTTGATACAAAGACCGGGAAGTGGGAGGAGCTCGGGACGATGAAGTTGCCAAGACATGGAGGTGCGGCTGTTGCGATTAAGGGTGGCATTTACCTTCCAGGTGGAGGCATTACGGAGGGAGGTTCTCCGGTTGATACCCTGGATGTCTACTGGCCGTAGTCAGACATTCGCTGTTTTTTATATGTGTATTTCTAGCGTTTAATGATTAATGACTCTTTACTTTATTCCTCCTAGTGATTTCGGGTTCCCAGTGATGTTTCTTACAGGTCAAGGTTCACGTAAGCCACGATTGTAAGCAGAATTGTCGATCCAGGTAAGTAAGCCTATTCTTCCCATAGTGCTTAGAAGAATTCGATGATCTTCGTCTCGCATAACATGTATAACTTGGGACTCGAATAAGAAAAGCCAGCTGAAATTCCTCTTTCACCAAGAGAAGTGATATAAGCTAGGATAAGTAAAGATCTACTTAAAATTAATATAGCAAAAAGTTCTTGTGCCCAAGCTAATCAGATATCGAAAACGACTCACGCAAATAACTTATCTGACGATCAGGGAATTTAGTAGTCATGCCACCGACCGTACATTTAGTTGGGCAGAGCTTTTTCTCCTTTTGTTTGGATTTGCACTTGTTAAGCTATCGATGGCGCATGGTCAACCGGCACGCACGCCTGGGACTCTTAGGACCTACGTACCCTTTCCCTGCGACTTCATTTGTATTTATATTCTCAATTTCAATGGATCTGAATAAGATATCACACATTTAGTAATATTTGACACTGTGAACGCAAGAAGAAGGGGCTCACGTCCATTGACTGAGTCTGGCAACGGTATTGCAAGTAGTAACTATTGCATCCTGAGATTCATAACCAGTGATAGTACAAAAGGGCTTAGATATCTTATTTGACGTAAGATAGTTGGTTGAGGGCTTGTAGATGTTATGTTTAGTCTAAAGGTGCTATTCCTCCCTTAAGTCCACGTGAACCACTACTATTAAACAGCTGCCCCAGCATAACTTAAAGCCTACTGCAGCACCAAGATGCATAATAATGAGTGAAAGGGATAGGGCTGCAGTTGGTTCCCTTCCTATAGCAATTGCCGAAATTGCCTCCAGTAGTATAAGCAATCGATGGGTTGTTGTTGTCGCATCGAAGACCGTAACCAGAAGGCCAGCCACCATCAACATCGCAAATATCTCCCTCGTTTCGTGAGTAAGAGATCATGCCGCAGTCGTTGGCGTAGATGGTTGCGTGTAGGTCACCGCAACTGGGGCCGCCTCTGGGATCGCCCAGTGTGCATGTCTGCCAGGTGCCAACTGCAACCTCGCCATCTCTGCAGCCTGTTCGGAGAGCCGAGGAAAAGGCGACCAGGCTAAGAGGAAGAAGGAGGGTGCTCGAGACGTGCATGGTGTATATCGTAGTCCTATGAGTTATTAGCATGCAAAGTCTTATCACAGGGTATGCCAAAGGCTGGGTCCGCTAAGGGCTTACCGATGTCAGGCGACAAGATCTGATACACCTTTTCTTGGTAGTTGCTGAGGGAGTGAGGAAACTGAGTTGGGAAGACTGCTAGGTAACGCGAGGCTTTATATAGAAGAGCTCATGCAGATTGGCATGGAGAAACGCCCACCATAAAATCAGCCTATTAATTAATCTAGACCTAACCAAAGTTCCAAAAGCAATTTCCCAAAATGCTCAACAGAACAGAAAGTGCTGAAACATCGCTTCATCGAGAAGATTGCACTTTTACCGGAAGATGGCACCGAGCTGCGTGGTCGAGGATTGGCTCTGCCAGGGATCACCAGAGCGTCAAGAGTGGATTTTGCACCAACCACGACGCAAATCTTGGTACTATATGAGAGTCTACCATCACTGATTGGCTATTTCAAGTTCAAAGGTAATCTTGGATGCACCGATGTTGGCTCGTGATGCCTGCTATGCCCGCTTACGCACAGGGCAATATTTTCAGCTCTGCTGAGGGATACATCCCCATTGGACAAGAGATTGATACCCCGGATCATGAAGCTGACACACATCAGTTAATGAATCTGAGGAATTGATCCGAACGATCACGAGAGGGTAAGAATGTTTTCATCGTACACATTTCTGGGTACTGTCCTCACAGTCACCAACCACATTTGCACATTTCAACAAACACCAATACTAAAAGATATACTGCCGAGCACAAAATTTCTGGTCGACTGATGAATGAACACTTTCCTCTCCTGGATCAAAGCCCAGTTGGAGCTTTTAAGCTTATGTTTTGATCGCCGCTTATTGTCCAGGGGCGTAGCATAATGACCCAGCTCTTGCTTACTGATCAATTCCGAGCATGCCGGGTTTAATTCTATGAAACCTTGCACTTTTTGGCCGTGCCTTTGATTTGTACCGTGCTGGGATCGATGCTGTACATTCTGGGCTTACAATCATTAAGTCGGTAGCTGGGGTTTAAGTGGCTACCGCACTATCAAGAGATTGGAGACAGTCGCCATCTACAGTGCCGCCGTCTCCTAGAAGCTTGAAGGTAAGGGCGGCGGTAGCTTTATACTCTTATCCTAAATCATCTGGTGCGAAGCCATGAATGGGAAATAGGAAGAGACATTATCTCAAGCAGATTTAAAGAGAATTTAGTACGCCCAAGTCTATAAGAGAACATTCCTGTTTCTCACTCCATCGCTGTTACTGGCAAGATCCGGTCACATGCTTAAAATACTAGCTTGGCTTCACTTCCATACACATAATCAAATACACGCCAACATCAACTTGTCTTATCCACAACCCTATAACCGAACTTTCCAAACCATTCTGAAGCAAACAACATTATCCAATTCACGCAAGCCTAAAAGTCTCCCAGTCAAGATTCATGCTTCCTGAAGTTTCAGTAGGAAGTCCCATAAATCCGTCAATAAACACAGGCCCAAGCACCTGATAGTCCTCGCCGACCTTCCGCAGCGCCATTGGAACTGGAATACCTTTGATTAGGGAGATAGTGTCTCCTTGTCTCATTGAAATTGGACCTGATCCAATCAAGCCATTGTCAGAAACAATCAAGCCTCGCCTTCCCGCTATTCGATTGCAAGTATCTAGGAAAAGCTTGCTGCAGCCTTCACTCTGGCAGATGGCCTCCAATGCCCTTGTTGCAGCTGTTGCAACAGCTGCAGTATCTCCCGGCATGCTATCCAGTTCGATACCCAGTTGTGTTATTATCTCAAACATACGTCTGAAAGTATCTTCTTGTTCCGAGGTAATCTCGGAGCGAAGTATAGGCCGACCGGTCAGTAGGAGCCTGATCGTCCATGGTATAGAGTCATGCAATCTGAAAATTAGTGTATCCTTTCTGATACATAAAACCCATTCAGCCAGAAGTTGCACATTATGAACAAGCTTGCCATTCGTCGTCACTTGATTGCTCCTGAGTTCGTCAACCTCGCTTTTTTCTAGCGTCAGGCAGTAATCTGACATGCCTAGACATGCGGCCTCTACTGATAGGATGTTTCCAGAGACTGACTGAGCTAAATCTTGCTCAGTCCATGGCCGCTTTTCCACGCCATGATAGACATAGGAGTCTGGCACCCAAGTCTTGTTATTTTGGCTCCAGTCAGGAACCCAGCTGGGAGTATCCGGAAGACGAGAGCCGCAGTCAACGAGTAATGTAATTAGAGTGGGTTTCCATTCCATCAAACCGACGAGGGCATCGCGATAAACCTGGCCAAGTGGTTTCTGATAATCAGGGGTAGGCGGGTGTGCGCCGAGCTGCCGCAGTACGCTATCGATCGCATATACTCGGTCCTGCGGCCATTTCGAATTACGGTCTCTGATAGCATGTGCAAGAGCAACAACATAATTCTGCGGTCGGAGACCAGTATGGCAGATCAGACTGTACATTCGAGACTTAGAGCCCTGTATGCAGTCAAATGAGCACTTTGTCAAGTGATCTGTGAAATAGAAAACAGCACTTGTATCAACGCTCAACAACACCAAGTACCAACGAGTAGGCATAAAAAACGGGATGAAGACGAAGATCATAGAAATTGGTATAAGCATATACAGGCCCAACTGAACAAGGCGTTTGAACTCAAAAATCCTGGTCATTTTTAAATTCTGAACGCACTCATAGACTGACCAGCTGCTATCCTGCCCCGGACTCTGCCAGTAGTTACTCCGCCTGGAATGACGGGGAATAGTCTGCCAGACATCGAAAAGAGCTTGCCATTTTTTGAACGAGCCTGAGTGGGATACTTCATCGTGTACTCGTCGCTGAGCCTCGCTGACTACACCGTTGACGGGATCCATCAATGCCTGCGTTGCCGAATGCTCGATGAATGTCAGGGCTTGATGCATAACCAGCCAGGGAATGTGCTGTCTTCCACAAACAAGAACGGGATTTGAGGCGAGCGTCATTTCCTGAAATGTCCAGGCGCGAGAAAGCCAGGTATGATCCAGCAGTGTATTGATTACATCTTGGCTGAGAAATGGAAGGCTAGATAATTGCTCTGCCAGAGTCAGTTTCAATGGTATCACAGGTATACTCAAAGAAGTAGCCTCACAAAAGATGGACTCACCAATTTGATCTGCATATATGAACCTTTCAAATGAAATGGTCTCACAGAACCAATTGAGTTTACCTCGATGATATCGGTTGTCAACATACGGCGCAATCCACCAGGTTCGAAAGACAAGGGGCAATGTATATCGACCAATCTCAGCAAGACGTTCCAAAATATTTCGACGTGGATAATTGCGAGTTAGCGGTATCTGGGCCGGGAATTTGCGAAACTGTGAGATGGTGTAGATATATTCGGCAGCCTGATCGGTTTCCATATTACCGACACCCAGCCAAACATAAACGATTTCGGCCAATGCGTAGATACTGCCCATCAACACAATCTGTTGCTCTTTCTCGCTGTTATCCTCCTGGTTGATGCATATTGCATCAACCCAGATTGTCAGTGACTGGCACGATTCTCGAAGGGACGTCAATGCCTCATAACAGGATTGTGTGATGTTGATATCGCAACCGTTGCAGGCAATCTTATGGTAAGAACCTTGGCCCCAAACATACGAAAGCGCAGTGAACTTGAGTAGAGCCCGTAGATCAACTGTGCGTAATGTGCCTGTGAGTCGATCACTATCGGCTGGATCACTCTTGTGAACATCAAGCACTCGTATGCACTGAGAACCTTGAGCTAGAGGGAGATTATCGTAAACTTGTCTTGCTGTGAAGGGGCCTATATTAGGCAGGATTCTGCAGTTTCTACTCGGCATTGGAAAGACTGAATTGAATGGAGAAAGAAATCGCACGGGAGGGAGATTGAAGCTGAAAAAAATAAGAAGGGGTTGAAAAGCAAGCCAAGTCAGCCGCACAAGGCTAACAGACTGCGCCTTTGCTTGTCCTGCATGTGCAGCAGACAAGCGGCTACTAAGCATGCTCACTGGAGGCCTGATGAGATGTAGCCATTACTGCGACCTTGTACGTACTTGGCTGTAACCGTTTCGCACAAACATTTTCAACCTCCTGGAAAGCCTGGCGCTTATTTATTCACTGTTCGCTAGGACTTGCTGTAACTCTCCACCAAGAGCTTTTTGCTACAAAAAGAGCAATATTCCGCCACCAATCCTTCCCTTGCCGATTGTAGCTGCATTTCTTTCTGAGGCTGATTTATTGATTTTGCTATCCAATGATCTGGAGACACCCTCAGAACTTGTACTACACCGACCATGTGCTAGATCCTCTCATAACCAATCACCGTGCCCATAAGACGAAAATGCGAAAGCCACGTCCTATAACACAGGCGGGGTTAGTCCTAGAATTGGAGCACTACCAGTGGTCCTGTCAATAGGCATCGCTGCTTGTCTCATCCCGTACTAACTTAGCCTACTGCCCGAATCCTAAGCCGCTCTTTCAGCAGCGGCTTGGCCTAAAGTAGTATGAAATCAGTTCTTGGGGGGGAAATAGATTTTATTATGCTTGAGTTTCGTCTCCGAGTTTGTTGTCAATTCTATTTTTCGGGAATTCGGGATATAGACCAGATCAGGCCTCAGCACCTGATTTAGCCAGGTCAAAATTACACGTCTCATACTCCCACTGCGTCTCAAAACCTAGCTTCTCATAGAACCCCCGTATCGCAACAGCATCGATGAAAATTCCCTCCATACCTCTCTCTTTCAGATTCTCCATCGCTTTGACAACGAGTGCTAAACCGACCCCCTTGCCTCTCTCAGCCTCATCGACTCCGACCGCGGCGATAAGACCAGTCTTGTCTCCGGAAGGAAGGAGAGGAAGAAATGCGAAGAAATCGCCGGCTGAAGACCCAAAAGAGCACATGAGAGTCCAGCCAATCTGCTTGTTGGTGTCGGGGTCAATGGCGACCATGACTTCGTGATGTTGGCCTCGTGCTGCGAGAGCTTTGTAAATGCCGCCCCAGGTCTGAATGAGTTAGTCAGGTAAAGTGAGTTCGGTAAAGAAAACTACTTACGAATAGCTCATCTTGTTTGGCCATGCATTCCTCGTACAGATCTGGCGACCATGGAGTGAACTTGATATTTGTCTTTGAGACTCGCTCCATTATCTCAGGCGGTGCAATCTCGGCCTGGATGTCTTTATAAAGGTCTAGAACAGTATCAGTAGTTTCGTATGTGCCTGGTTAGTCAGTTAGTAGATGACTATAGTTCTCTTGGATGGACCACTGACCTCTGTGAGAGAGGAACTCTTTTGCATCGGGTAAGATACTGGTTGGCACTCGGTACCAAAACCTCGGGAAAATGGATCCCATCGCTAAAGAGTGAAGCCCCTGGCCTGCATCCTTCGCTGCATTTTTCAATCCAGCCTTTCCTTTCTCTAGAAGCGCGTTACCGAGTCCTTTACAACGGTATTCGGGTAAGACTCCGATGGCCGCGATATTTCCGGAGTTCCCGCTCTTGGAATAGTATGACAGGCAGAACCCATGCTCGTGAATCCAGTGCTGGCCCTTTAAGCCAAATAGAAGCCCTGCGAACCGCCCTTGCTCAATGGGCCAGTCCGGGAAGATGGTGTGCCACAACTGCCAAGCTTGTTGGATATCTTCCTCTGAGCTCGTGAGCTCGCGTAGATCGTACTGAGTCGCACCAACAGGTCCGTCACCTGTGCTCTGCTGTTCTGCCATATCTAAAACAAAAACTCAGAGAATGAGTTTTATCAAGCGTTTTGAGTCTTGATGTGATGAGATGTAGGTTGTTGGTGCGAAAGATCAGCGAAGGATGGTAAACGCCTCAAAACACGTGAGCTGACTGAAAGGTGCGGAGTTATGCAAGGCGCCAAGGATCTTGCCAAAGAAGGAAGCTGCAGTTGAATCCTACAAGATATGGCGACTTATAAATTTACTAGTGCGACAACGGGAATAAACTCTATAAATCATCTAGGATATATCCTCCCACTTCCCTCCCCACCAAACTAGACTACTCTCTCTAAGCACTCTCCCATTCACATCTACTCACTTCCAGTCGCACGGCGTGGTCCCCTACTCATCTTAGCCTCATCCTTAGCCCTCTCAATCACATCCTCCCAATTCGGCGGTTTGCTTCGAAGGTCCTGTCCAGCAGCCTCCGCATCAAAGCCAAACTGCAACAGCGCATCTTCGCTGCACCACTCTCCCGTAGCCATAAGTCCAACTGGAATTTTACCCTCCGTGTCTCTATCAGCAACTTCCCCAGCGTCTTTTCTACCTTCGGGAACGACGTATCCAGCTGGGACGGTTATAGCGGGAAGACCGCAGAAGTTAGCAAGCCAGACGTATTCCATGCTTTGCAGTGTATAGTTTCCGTCGTTAACACCATAGGATAGCTCCGACTTTCCTCCGCGGATAGGTGCACCGGCGCAAGCGGTGGTGGGGGTTATGATAAGCATGCCAGGGTATGTCTTCCAAAGATACGAAAGATGCTGCATCAACATCCCTCTCAGCTTCTGAGCCAACAAATAATCCGTCGAAGGCGTAGTCCTTCCCAGTGCAAGTAAAATCTTGTTAGCAGGCGTCAGACCCTTGGTATCATAGAGTAATGTCGAAGCATCAGTCAGAACAGTAAGTGCATGCGCCATCTGACCCTCGGCAGGGAAAGGAATTTCAATCGGGACGAGAGTGTATCCATGCTTAGCAGCCAAAGACTCAACAAGCCCGCGAACCAAAGACTGAACGCTTGGTGTAGCGCGTGAGATCCATGCATCGAAGATACCGAGGACTTTCGTAACAGGCGGTGAAGGCTGTAGAGCCAAAGGTGGAAATTGCGTTGAAGGATGAGGTTCAGCGATGGCTTCGTACGCAGCTGCCAACGACTGCATATCAACAGCCAAAGGTCCTTGGACAGCACATGTCGGTGAGTGGTTCGCACCAGGCCAAGAAGCAAGTCTGTTATGCGTAGGCTTCAACCCAAACACGGAGCAAAACGATCCAGGAATGCGAATACTGCCACCGCCATCACTTCCCAACGCGAGCGGAATAAGTCCAGAACTGACAGCGTACGCAGGACCAGATGAGCTTCCGCCGGTGTAATAGCCTGAATTGAAGGGGTTACGCGGCGTTCCTTGATTGGGGTTGTTTCCGGTCGTATCTGATAAGCGTCAGTCGATTTGGGGAATAAGAATAAGAATACGGGGCTTACCTAGTCCAAACTCGTGCATGGCGAGTTTGCCGATAATGACAACGCCTGCTTCTTCGAGTTTTCGTACGATCCAGCTTGTAGTTGATTCTCCATCCTTGGGAGTTTCGGTGTAATCTCTTGGAGAGCCGAGAGTGGTGGAGTAGCCGTCTAAATCATAGTCATCTTTGATAGCGGAGGGGATGCCATCGAGGGGACCGAGGGGTTGCTTATTTTTATAGCGTTCCGTTGAGGCTTCAGCGGCTCTCATGATACGCTCAATATTGAGCTCCCTCCAGCCTTGAGCGTGTCGGCCAGGTGTTGGGCCATCTGTTTCAACGAGAGGTAGAATTGCCTTGGCAACATCAACCGGGGTAAGCTCCCCAGAGAGATAGAGAGCTCGATAATCAGCTGCCGAGTAGAATTTCGACGAATTTAATGTTTGCGAAGTATTTGCCTGTTGCAAAGCCGAGATCTGAACCCTCTCACCGCGTTCTTTAGCCTCAGCTTCAGAGAGCGCGATCGGCACGACAGTTGGATCGTAGCGAGGCTCGAAATGCTCAAGATAAGTCCGGATCTTCCGGAGCGAAGCGAAACCCGCATTAGCCCAAGCAGTCTCACGAATAAACCGAATCCATTCCATCCTACACCGTTAGCAACTCAAAAATTCTCATGCCATTCATGAAAACTTACAAAAAAGCAGCAGCAACAAGAAAAGGTCCTCTCAAGACGGGATTTCTATTTCGTTCAATAGCATAGGGCACATGAGGTCTGCGATAAGCAAAAAACGTCAGCACATGATTCGCCCACCACGCAACGTCATGCTTACCCCTCCTGGGGCTCAGGATAGTTAAAGAACCGCCTCTCATTATTGAAATTATTCATTTTTGAAGAGTGATGACGATGAGAAACTGACAAGGTTTGAAGTTGATGCAGGAATTCGGGGAATTTAAACTCTCGGATAAGGCGGCCACCGCGGAGACCGATTTAGCGGTGTTAGTCATGGATCTACTGTACGTACTTCGGAGTCTCGGGACGCGTGATCTGATCTGATCTGCGTGGAGAATACGAGCGACGAATTACATGCTGAGGATTGGGGGCGAGTTGTATCAGAGGCTTAAAGCAGGATTTGCTATTGAAACGTACGGCTTAATATAGGCAGCCACCAGCGTATATCCCATCCAACCACCTAATTATTGAACACCTTGTCGTTGATGGCAACGACCAAAGCTGCATAGTCCTGATTATCCAAGTAATCAATGTAAACAACGTTGGGGAACGACTTATCACTGACTTCCGGCAGAAGTCGCGTGAAGAGCTCCTTGTTGCAGGTATAAGCCAGTTTCTTGATCGGCTTCAAAGACCTGGGTGCAACCTTGACGAAAGTGACGACATCGCCATCCCATTGAGGCGCCTGTTGGGTCAGCGTCCAAGAAAGCAGGAAAAGACGCTTATCCTTGGCGGACATGTGGCCCTTCATCTTCTCAAGCTGGTCATTAACCATAACGACAGCGTCGTCTTTGTTGGAGTACTCGTTGCGAACATTCATCGCTTCGTATTTGTAGAATCCCTTGTGTGCATAGTCGCCAATGTCGAGGTCCCACTGCTCCATGACGCAGACAACAGCTGCCTTGCCATTGCCGATGAAATCATCAAGTTTAAGTTGAGTGAGGTTCTTGGCCTTGTTCTTGTCCTCGACAATGAACAAGTGGTTCAGTTTGAGGAGCTCTTTCATGAGATTGTGCCATTCCTGCTTGGTAAACTCTCGCCATTCGTCGGTGTCGGTTTGAAGGGAGTGCGAAAAGTTCAGGATGATGAGTTCGCCGTTCTTCTTGGTGAATTCGTTGACGGCAGAAATAATGTCAGAAATCGATTCACCTCGACCTCCAACCTTGCCGGTATAGTGGCCGGTCCACAGATGACCACCCGAGTACTGGGGTCGAAGATCAAAGTATCGAGCACCATGCGCAAGCTGTCCCAGGACCGAGACAGACTGGCACAGAACGTACGGGTCAATGACACCGCCAGGAACATCGCAGTGAGATACAGTCGACATGCCCGAGTCGTGGGTGCCCAGCATACAAATCTGCGATAATGGACGATGGCCCAAGATGTTCCTGTTCTTCTGCATCCAATCCGTAGGCGGGTTCGAAGAGTGAAAGTTGCCCTCCTTTCCAGAGAGTACAAACGTGACGCACTCGTCGTGCTGCCATCCCAATTCGATCTTTGAGCCGCGAGGATTGTTCAACGCCTCCAGGCCGTCGAGCTGGATCCAGATGTTTGCAGGCTTATCGCGAACGTGGATTGAAAAGGTCGCCTTGGTGCCCTCCAAGCTGTATGTGACGGATCCGCTGGTATCCCCACGCTTCTTGAGAACGCCATGGTCAAACTCAACATAAGTGCTGGGAACTTTGCCTTAGATATGGTCAGATCTCAATTTATGTCTCAAAGTCTGGTCGATTTACCTGCATCGATCGACTCCGGGAAGCTCCAGGCCTCCATCTGATAGCTATTCTGCTGAGTCCGCTTCCATTTGTACGGCGTACCGTTGACGAGGTTGATATAGCCGCCTTCACCCATTTTGTCTGTAGATTTCGATGGCAGTAGATGGTTTGAAGATGTCTAGGGATGATCAAAGCGGAGTAATCTGACTATTTGTATGTCCTCAACATTTTCTGGGTCTAGACCCTTGTTGTTTCAGCTCACTAGTGCCCAGCTGAAAACCTCTTGGCATTCTTCAGAGGCCACATCCATTGGAGATCTTGGAGACTCAGCCACCGGCAAGTTACGTCTCAATGCTTCGCGCTATTTGACGGGGAGAGATGTGAGGCGTTAATGGCGTCGTCACCCAGATCCCCGGAAAGAGGAGATTGCCAAGGCAAATATCCTCCAAGGAAATTGGACTCTGGGGTTGCTGTCTGTCTTGATGTGTTCCCTGTCGCTGAAATGCCTATGAGATCATGTGCTCGGAAACTCCCAAATGGTGGGGTATAGGGTGATGAATTAAGTTCTGTGTGAAGCTCTCAGCGACAAGTCTCAACTGCAGATAACACATTTGGCTCACTGCTTTAGGGTAATCAACTATCATTTCATTCATATAGAAATTTATGGCTTTTTTATAAGTGATCTCAATTAGCCCAGATGTGATTTACGAGGAGAATATTATGGCAGGGGAGATTCATATAATCAATTTTATCTTTCTTCTACCCCGAAAGACTTTATCGTCGAGACCTCTATAGCTTACTGCATTTCACGATCACAGTATAATATTAGAAAATGCTCATGACCTTGATGACAACACTCAAGACTGAAAAGTGATAAGAGAAGTGGTTTATTAGCAATCTAAACACTAACGATCAGGAAATAAAAAACCTGCCTTGTCTGCCCATGGTTCCTCAAAATGAATTACTTCTGTGTGAGTCCAGCAACTTCCGCGTGATCGTGTCGTGCTTCTCAAGACCTACTGCTCTAGCAGTTTGCGACAGAGCCCACAAAGTCTTTAACGACGATACTATCGGTGATTATTTTACCAGTTATTCCCCAGCGGCGATAGTTAATAATCTTTGACCCCTTTCGTGCTGTCTTGATCCCCTGTCACAGCTGACTATTCACGTAAAGAACAACAAATTTCCCAAAGTGGATCCTCCCAACGGTGTCCTCTTAAAAACTGCCATCCCCTGGTAGCCCGGCAAGACTATTGAATGTGGCGTCGATTAGCCAGAAACTATCACCAATGATAGCCCTCATGGACCAGATTCGATCCAGGAACTTCTGGGTCTAGATCGGAAGATCGTCACTATTTACTTAAGACCAAGCCCATCCCCATGCCAAGACGTGTTTCTCCCCGTTCTGTCTCATCAAGCTGTCTGTCTCTCGTTAACATTCGCTCAGCTGTCATCATGCGTGTTTTATCTTTTGCCCTGGCCCTTTTTGCGGCTGATATGGTCGTTGAAGCTGGAGTTTGCAAGCCAGCTCGTAAGTACCTAGGCATATGTAGGGGGACTCATGGATACTGACAAATTGCGTAGGTACAACTACGGCCGCAACTTCAATTGCTGAATCAACTACCGCCACCTCTGAGACTTCTGTCCTTGAGTCGTTGACCTCTGCAACTGAGACCTTGAGCACCGACTCAAGTGAGACCTTGACGGCTTCTACAACCGAGGCTGAAACTACTTCGACTGAAGCTGTTCCCACTACCACGACCGAGGTTACTGTCACTACTGAGGCTTCTACCACCGAGGCTGCTTCGACCACCACGGATGAGGTTCCTACTACAACCGCCGAGGCTACTACAACTACTGAGGCTGCTACCACCACCGAGGAAGCTTCCACTACAACCACCGCCGGCCCATCTTACACACCCGGCTCTATTGTCGGCACCGGACCCGCCGCTGACCTCACCCTCCACGGTACCGACACACGATTCGTCGCCCTATCCTTCACACCATCCGACTCAACCCAGACCCTGATCTTCACCCTCGCAGCCAACGGCCAACTCGCGACAGGCACCAACAACAACTACCTTTGCTTGAACTACAAGCCTTCGGGTGTTCTTGGGCCGCTTGTCCTGTGCCCCTTTGATAACTTTCAGAACGCTCCCTTGAAATGCACACGTGCTGCCAGCGGCACCCTTTCTTGCACTGCGCCGAATGGATCATGCACCTCCACTGGAAGTTGCGCGCGACCTAACAGTGGAATCCCGTTCTCTCAATTCTATGTGGATGGTTCTCAGAACGGCTATTTTGGTGATGCTAGTGGGGACTTTGGATCGGGTTATACTGCCATTGACGTGATCCTGGCAGAGTAACGTGGAGGTTCGAGCTGAGGTATATATTAGAAATACGAAGTTGAGAGCCTCAATTTTATATAAACTTGCAATACAGTAATATAGTTCTTGTATATATTTCAAACATCCTGACTTACAGTTTACTAACTTCAGGATTGCCCCCCTTTGACTCTCACTGTGACTGATATAATTGTAAAAGAAGACGAGGAGACTAAACCAGATGCGCGCGCCGAAAATATTATCACTTTTAGTTTTCAGAAATCCATCCTGTAACGTCTGAAATGATCATCCAGTCTTTCACCGCGCTAGAGATCACTGGCATATCCGAGCATTGTACTTCAGTCCTTAGATAGCTGCCTTTTCTGAATATGATTACAAATCTGATTGACATATTCTTCTAAGAATAGTTACTTCCCAGTCCTGAGTAGGCAACGTAAAGTACTCACCCGCAGCAGGCCATCTCTTGCTTATCCTTCTCATTTCTGGTATCACAGAGGCAATACTTTCATCATAACGACCAGGACAGGCTATTTTGAGTGTAACCAATACATTATGCAGCATACATACCAATCTTAATAGTGAGAAATGTTTCTGGTGCTCATCTTCACTGGGATTCTTGGCAAAGCTAAATTGTGCATCGACACTAGCCCTTGCACAACACTGGCGTATGAAAACTCGCTTCATATTAAGTTGTATCTGCTGGCTTAATTTCTCAGCCTCGGGTATCACCAGCTCGATCCTTTGGATTGGGCTATGGGGAAATCATGAGTGATCCATCTCCAACATGTGGGCAAAAGCGCAGCTACCAGAATAGGTAAATACTTGGGTATTGGAAACAGATTAAGGGTTAGAGCCTTACCTCGTGGGCAGTCGTGAAGACTGACGTAGATCCACGTGTTTGGCATCCTCGCCGAAAGGAGGAATAGAGCTTTCAACCTCGACAATTAATTCACAATGTGGGTTTGCAGTTCGAGGGTTACGTTTCGAGTCGTGAACGTGCTGCAGGATGCGGCCACATTGGGACACAATTTTACCAAGGTCCAGAACGCGCTGAGAGGCAATTTCAGGTCTCGGGACCCCGTTTGGAGTTCTCAAGACTGCAAAGTTATGCTTAATAGCCCTCACCATATCGTGATCCGGAGGGCAAGCGAGAGGTATCCAATTGTGCTTCCTGTGCAGCGTTTGCAAGGCAACCAAGCTGTCATGTTGTTAGTTCTTTGACACTCAAACTCGTATATTGTGTGGATTTTACCTATATATGAGCATGAGAGACAATCTCCACTCCAACGATGTCAATATGCTCGATAGGTCAACGTCCAGCCTTGCCGCCATTGTGAAGGCTGAGTTAAGAGTCACATGCGCATGCTCAAGCATCCCATGTCCACATTCATATAGCGCAATGAGACCCTGAGGCTGCACAAGCTCCGCATGGTTTGGAAGATGAAGTTGCTTAAGTGCAAGCAAGACCTTGAAGGCCACGTAGATTCGCTTAGTCTGTGAGCATGCCTTGTGATCGCAAGGTGGTGTAGCGACGAGGAGAATGGCTAGATGTGAAACGGGCCAAGAGGAATCTGCAAGCTGAGAACGATGAGGACTGCCAGTCGTGCGAAGACTTTTGTGGTCCATTGACGGGATCTTCAAGGAGCTCTAGTATCGTGCAACTACGATAGCGAAAGACTCCCCTGACATTTTCTCCCAGCCCAGCCTTCGCAATGGGGTCATTGGAATCATATGCCAACATAGCCTTCATCAGTTGAGCTTGGCCTGGTTTCGTCAAGTCCCAGCTGCAAGGACCCAACTGGGAGAGGGGTCTCGTCGACGTTGGAGGCTCAGAGTCATCGTCTTACAATATTTCATAAGAAGTCGTCGAGCCCGTGACTCTGATAATATGAGTTGAAGTCCTTGTCTCTGAAGACCCGCATAACTCGTATTTGCAGTGAGCAGGGTTCCTGTGCTGTCAGTGGTGTTAGCCAACGAGGTCACGCGTTGCATGACTTACCAGTACTTCGCGCATCGCGAATAGTACGGGAGAAGGGTAAAGTTAATTCATTCAAGGTCTTCAATTCAGTTTTTTAATTGGCTGAGAGAGGGGCCTTAGTGAGAAGTATTGACTTTAACTACTCTATACTACATAACTTGGGGTGAAAACGATTATCACTGTGTAACAAATAGAGTACTTTTCTTGGAAAAAATTTTGCTCCTATCCAGAGTGCCTCCAGGAGAATCAAAAAGGAAAATCTGATGAGACTGGGACTCGAACCCAGGAGGATTGCTCCACCAGGAATTGGTGTTAAGGTTAACCTTAACCTGGCGCCATAACCAACTCGGCCATCTCACCGATGCTATTGGATGAAAGCGATTGAGTTTTGCTAACCTATACATAGTGCAAAATGTCGAGTCATGGTATAACATCTGGATCTCTCTATTATGCATCACTTCTGGACCGTGACTAAGAAATACTAATGTCACTCATAGGTCAGCTTGCTTTAGTTCAATAATCTTGCCTGGCTAATTACGCAGTAGTCATAGATATTGTCTTCCAGCTCAACTAGCCTGTAACCTATTGTCTCTTTGCTAAAAATGTGAGAGCACCTAATGCATACCCATCCAACCCAGTCTTGAGCGTTGGTTGAATGACCGGAGCGAACTTGGAAGAATGGTTTGCAGGAATACTCTGCGCAACAGTCCCCTCCTTCTCAGCCTTATCCCAAATCTCTCCATCAACACATCCGTACGTGAAGAAGCAATACGGTCTATCAACAGCAGTAGCCAAGATCGAAAAGTCCTCACTAAAAGCAAGCTTCGGCATATCCCTGTCATATTTCCCAGTCCCCTCGCCAAAGTGCGCAGCAAATGACTCTTCCACTCTCTTAGTGACAGCTTCGTCGTTGATCGTCAAAGGAAAAGCCCGGGTTTGCTCAAACTCTGGACTTTTGAGGACATTGGCGCACGAGCATTCTGCTTCGATCACTGTTTTTATGCGTTTTAGAAGGCGCTCTCGGGTAGCGACCGTGGTAGATCGGGTATCGACGCCAAGAACGGCTGAGTCTGCGATGACGTTCTCAGCATCCCCAGCATGGATGCCCGTGACGGTTACCACGCTTGACTCAGCTGGGTCAACCTCTCGACTGACAAGCGTTTGCAGTTTCAGAATAGCATTGGCCGAGATAGCGATGGGATCAATTGCAGTATGAGGCATACTCGCATGCGAACCTTTGCCGTGGATGGTGACCTGGTAGTTATCTGCGCTCGTGGCAACAAGCCCTCTTCGTGTACCGATAGTTCCAGCACGTAATGGTCTCACATGTGCCCCCAGAACGAAGTCTGGAATTGGAACCGCATGTTTGGTGTAAAGACCATCGTCCACCATTGCTTGTGCACCAGTACCTCGCTCTTCAGCAGGCTGAAATGCCAGCACCAAAGTTCCAGCCCAGGATTCTCGGGACGAGAAAAGAGTTGCTGCAGCACCTAGCAATGTCACAATGTGCATGTCGTGACCGCAAGCATGCATAACAGGCTTCTCAACTCCGCTCGCAGCATGAATCATGCGCTTTGTGCTTGCATACTCTAAACCTGTAGTCTCTTTGACCGGGAGAGCATCAATGTCTGCACGAAGTAAGACAGTGGGGCCATCGCCATTGCGGAGAACGGCAGCTAAGCCATGGCCACCAATATGAGGCTTAATAACGAGATCTTCGGGGCCAATCTCCCTAAGTCGTTTGGCTATAGTAGCAGCTGTATCGACTTCTTGGTTGGACAGCTCGGGGTTGCGATGAAGATGCTTGTACAACTCCTCCAACGGTTGGAGGTCAGGCCGATGCTGATCCACCAAGTCTGATAAAATTGATTTTGACATTTTGTTTTGTGATACAGATCGTTAAAGAAGTGATGATGAGAGGAATAGAGGAGTCATATAGTGTGGAGGAGTTGTGGATTATTCATGCTGAATCCTCCGGACATTTACCCGAGTCATGTCATCCATCTTTGCTTACACCATCGTCGCTAGACCGAGGCCGCTACTTAAGCCAAATTCCAACAGTTTGCATAAATTCATCATGGCGAGACTTTAAGGAAAGGCCAAATTTTTATTCATTGGACTAGATTGCCAAACTAATAGTGAAGAACCGCTGTACAGGGTATTTCGCGATAGTTGACGTTTCTCCCCTAAAGAAATTAACCGGTGCCCTTCCGATACTCTCGGGGACGGCTTCCGAAAATTTAGAATCTAGAAACGGGCGTCTAGGCGAACTATAGGCGAGTCGACAGGGTTATAGGAGGAAATAGTAGAAAAATACGGCAAAACTTTATTGTAATACTAGTCAAGGCAAACATATAAGAATTGGGACGCATTAATACAATTGAGTTAAATCAAGTCTGGAGTTAAAGCTAAGTATGTACCAGGAAGTTCTACATCTAATCAAAGTCACCAGCGGTGTCTCTCTTTCGATTTCTGGACCCTTTTTCTTATAGTGCTGCATACTCAAACACAGGCTCATCAGGCTGGCAGGTAGTATTGAGCTTGGGCATCTCTCCATCAACGAAATAGTTTTTGACAATCTCTTGCGTACAGTTCGATGGGTGAGCCATCAGTCCGTGCTATAATTCTCAGTTAGCAAAGATTCCTCATCAGTCTGGTGTGCAGGGGATACTTACGCCTACACCTTCGTGAACCACGACTCGGCTTCCTCGGAACTGAGCGGACACGCCCCAAGCACTACTCAAAGGTGTAACAGGATCATATCGTCCATTAACGATAAGAAGTGGGGTTTTCGTCTTCACATTCCTCAACTTGTTGATATTAATCTGCTCCGTCGCAGAAAACTTCCACTGCGCACAGAAAAGTCTCGCAACAGTTCCGAGCTCAGAAAAAGATCCCTCAGCGCGATGAGCTTGGAAGATGGAAAATAAATCATCCTGGTCCTCAACTCGGAATGAAGAGTCGCTGCATGCAATGCCATTGGTGACAAACTCAGCGGCAATATTCCACTCGCTTTCGAGCGGGTTCTCATTCCTCATGTCGAACATGGCTGTGACGTTGTTGTTGAAGAGACCTTCGATGCGGTTGATGATGCTGGGGTAAGACAAAGGGCTGTAGAGTTCTCCAAAGATGAGGTTTTTGAAAGTGATGATGAGCAGATTCAGATCATCGCTGGGAAGATCTTCCTCATCGATATCCCCGCTGGGGAGGGTTCCATTGAGATAACCCTCCAGCATCTCTCTAAACTCTGTGAGGAGGCTCTCGCCTGTTGTGCTGTTTCCGTGGTAGTCTGCAAGAGAGCAGAGTTCCGTTCCAGATTCAACACACTCGTCCAAAAGGTTGGAAAGTGATCGCTCGGCATCTCTCATGCTGTTGATCCACGTTGTAACCGCATAGTCATCTGCTTTCAAGTTGGCATCAATCAACATGCGGCCGATACGCTCAGGGAACATGGAGGCAGTAACCTGGCCTAGAATAGTGCCATAAGAAACACCCCAGTAGTTAAGCATAGGTCCTTGACCTAATGCATCAACAATAGAGATCATATCCCTCGCGACAAAAGGCGTACCAACAAAACGCCCTGTATCTTGTCGACTCTCATAGCAATTCTCCGCCAAGCTACCAGCGAGCTCCCAAGTCTGGTTTCTGACAATATCCCAGGTCTCAGCCTGCGGAATTGTGTTGAACTCTCTACGGCGAAGACCTTTAGCAGTTGTGAGATTCGTTCCCGTACCAAAGCCCGTTCCATTACAGACGAAAGGAATTGTACGACCAGTTCCTCTGAATGACTGTTAGTTTTACATAACACCAAGCATAGGAAGAGGCTGAGCTTACCGGGGGTCGAATCCAATGACATCATATTGTCCGCCAAGAACTCTGTGATGCATGTCAGCATTGAATTGTAATTTTTCGGATGTAACTTACGCGGCAAGTTCCATTCCCGACGAGACGATGGCCTCGACGCCTGAACCACCGGGGCCGCCGGGGTTGTACAGAACGCTGCCTAGATAGGGCTCTTTGCTGGCTTTGGCTTTGATCAGGTCAAGTTTGATGGTTTCGCCGTTGCCTGCAGACGTGTAGTCCAGAGGAACAGAGAGCCTGGCGCAGTCATAATTTCTCTGTCGCCTGTTTGTTGAATTATCTCCAAAGTCCAAGTCACATTCTGACCAGTCTATTTTGGAGCTGTTTGAGTTCTTGAGGTCGTCTCTAGGTTTCAAAGCAGCGAAGACATCTTTTGGTAAAGTTGAGGCCTGTGCTGCCTGGAGAAGTAGATGACTCAGAAAAACAGTGTAAAACTTCATGATGAAGGAATTGATACGAGAATGCAGTATAGAACATTCTAAAACTCGGGATATTCTTCATCCTATTTAAGCATAAATTTGTAGGACTTTCAGCCAACTTGTCCGTCATCGAAGCACTGCCTTGTTTGTTGATCCAAGGCTATGTTTCTCGGCAAAAGCCAAGGATTAGTCGTACATAGAGACGGAACAGCCCAGACTCCACTGCCCAACCAAGTCCCCATTTCCAAGACGCGTTAATCCGTGGCTCAACAGCTGAGCCTCGCTAGCGGGATATTTCGCCTGAAATGGACAGTGGACTTAGGCGTTGGCCAAGAGAACGAGATCTGCCTTGGGGGCCAACGCCTTGGCGCCCAGCTTTAGTTCTCAGCTTTCGAAGATCGACGTTGGCTCTAGGCTACAAGATGCGTCATGACGAGGCTCGCCAAGTGAAGGATCCAGGATCGAGATTGAAGGATGAAGGCGCAGGATCAAACACGATGGATGTGAATGCGGTGAAACAAAGAGACATGCAAAGAAGTATGCGTGTGACGCATCACACGAAATGCATTCATGCTTCATTTAAACGTTTATAGTGCTTATCCTGACGGCGAATAGTCTCCCATTTACGCCTCCGGATTGCTTTGATCTTGTAAGGTCCTCGCTTTCAGGATTACTGTCGGAGAGATGTCGGGATGTATACATGATTGAAGCCTCTGAATATCTTGCAAATATCATGATTGAAGATCCTAGGTCATCTCAACATGTCAAGGCATAATGATGTAACTGGATAGAGACATCTTAAGCAAAGTTTATATTTGTAGCAGCTATATGAAGAGTATATCATAACATACCTACCAACGCGTTATTACCCTCTTCTTCGCATGCATCATACCACGCAGTATCTAAATTTGATCATAAAACATGTCTTTAGAGCTAGTCGATCAACCTGACTGTGCCATATATCTTAGTAGCCAACCTCTCCACTTTCTTCCCCTCAATGCGTGACCCCTCGATTCCGCGATCCTGCCGCTCCAACACTATAAACTCGATGGGCTCAGCCTCTATTTCACAGCAGGAAGTGAAACTATCCTCCCCATATGTCTGGATATCTTTGAGCGCGTCTTCTATAGACACCATTGAACGACAAGATGGAAGTTCGTGATTAGAAAGCAACAGACCTTGGCCAACAATGTTGTACTCGTTTACTTCCGCACTGCGCCTCAACACCAGTAATTCACCAATGACTGGCACCTTGATGATGCTGTCGCCTTTTTGAGCATCACAGCAGAGTAACGCACAGATTTCAGAACCGCAAAATAGCTGTATTGTTCCTTCAAGAGCCCTTTTACATTCAGCTTCAATCTGATCGGAACTTTTCGGAAGTTGATAAGGATTACGAACCAGACCGGCAGAAAGCTGACCGCAAGTGTTTTGAAATATTGTCATGAAAGTTGATTTGAATTTGAATGACATCGGTGGGTACTTGCCACGACCAAGGGGCTGAGGCAGGCTCTTCAGTCTCGCTTCCACCAGGGGCCTCAAGAGCTTATGATCGTGTGAAAGCTCCAATGCGTTAAGAACCGCCCATATATCTGTCCTCGGCGATTTCACAATGCTGGTGAATAACTGCGCTAGGTCTAAAATCGGAGAGGGTTCATAAACAAGCTGAACGGGTGGAACACCTGTTGGCCACTGGATCATGGGCAATACTCCAAAGACTTTATCCTCTAGTCTTGCGCATCCGAAAGGCTTTGACCTTTCGAGTAGCATATGAGCTGGTATAGGTGATGATGCGTGTGAGGCCAAGACAAATCGGCAACAATACAAACCTAGTTCCTCTCTAGAGACTGGCTCCTGGCCCCACGAAGTCATATTCGATTCTTTGTAGGTCGCTCGGCAGATAAAGTCGCATATTCCCATCTCGGACCTTGAAAAGCTATCCAAGCCGCAAAGTATTTCTAACTGACCATCGTTTCTGGTTGATGCCACGACTTCCTGGATGATCCAAAGCCGTCTCCAGTATCTCCGATTGGCAAAAGTAGAGAAGGCGTGCCTGAATTGAGTATAGAACTCACGGCCTGAAAGTTGCGACTGTAGGAGGAACAGTTCTTCAAACTTGTCAAAATCCTGGTGAAGAAAATAATCGTCCTCGGTTCCGGGGCCTGAAAACCCTGTTTCCGCACGGTAGTACAGGTTCGGACTCAGTGTCTTGATACTGTTCAAGGAATTGCGAATTATTTGGCTGTTATCTTGGTGAGGCCCGACACAAGCCAGTACCTTGGATGCTTTGGTAAATATATCGCCCATCATGGCAACCTGATATGACTTCTCGTCGTTATCACCCTGATTGATGCAGATGGAATCAATCCAGATAAAGACAGGCTTTCTAGGAAGCGATGGATAACGATCCCTGACTTGCATCAAGGCATAGTGGCAGTTCTCAGTCACCGTCATCGGGTGGCCATCGATGATGATCTCTTTGTTGAAGCCGCTTTCTCCCCATGTGTATGAGATGGCATAGTACTCGGGGGCTTGATGTACATGCTAAGTTCTGAGGGACAGTTCAAGAGGCTTATGAGGCTTGGAGGTGACTTCGATCAGCCGAATCTGTCCAGCGGGGTCAGCCAAGGGCTGGTGTTTGAAAGAAGGTTGGCTCATTTTCTTTGACGTCGGAGCCTGATTTCAGCACGAACAAAAGCCAAGAGGTGCGAGAGGGAAAAGGGACTTCATAGGTCGATAGAACCGAAGAGGAAAGAAAAGCACTCAGCGAAGCAGGAATGTTGTGCTTTCGGAAGAAATAGAGGGCGGTGATGGAAATATACATATAGTGAAATCTGGTTGGAAAATCAGCCTGGGGCTATGCACACATCACTTGTGCGAGGTGACGCTCACCTGGAGCGGCCGTCTTGATTGGTTAACGTGCCCTGCGCCTGTGCTGTGACTAACCAAGGCTTATCTGTCGAGACCTGTGGCCTGCTTTACAGTCAATCAGCCGATCAGCGAACCTGGATAAGGGAATAAAACTTAGACTCTTTGTTCTAAGCGTCCAAAAAGTTTAAAGGACTTCGGTATATCTTAAGCCTCTAGGCCAGATGGGAATATCACCCTGGTTAATGTCGGAATCTGCAGGGCCGATGGACAAATTCCCGTATCTCGTGATCCGTGGTATTTGCGATTACGCGGACTATCATAAGAGTGATCGATGGCAACGATATGCCGCTACTACGGCTGTTGCTTTTGCCGTTGAGCTTCTTGAGTATGTCCCAGCTAAGCAAGTTCAAGCGACACGGAAGGTTATGTGGTCAAGTCAAGTTAGTCATAGCCCACCAATCGAAGTATATGTCGCTTACACAAACGAACAGTTCAAGAAAAGATAAAAGGTTTGAGGTGGACTAGACAACGACATACATCAGATCCACTACTGATGTGTCCATTTTTCCTAGTTCCAGGTATCTGCTTGTCCTCTACGCTGAGACCCCCGAGTCAGAAGAGGCTGCTCATAACCATCAAGAACTCCTCTTATCCAAATTCAGCATTGATAGCGGCGACCAGCTTGCGAGTATTGAATTGCTGACCGTTAATCGGAGAATATTGGTCGTTTCCTCAGACGCAAAGTTTGTGGTTTTACAAACACTGAGAGGGGCATTCACGATTTTGACCGACACAGGAGAGTCGCTTTACCAGTTCGAATTGCGCTCCGACGTATACCATGCCTCGCTGTCCAAGAAAGATTCGGTTCTTGTCACGTATGAAAGCAATTATTTCACTCTCAAGGACTCCTCAACCGGTCTGCTGTTGCGTCGCCTGGAGATAGATACCAGCTTTGCGCCGGTGCGATTCAATTTTGATGCCTACACTAAGGAGTTCCACACTAATGTTGGCACACTGGCACTTCGTAAAGCGTTCAAAGATGAAACTCGCAGAATTCGTTTCGATGAGAGTTTGACGGGATACGGGATCAGTGACGATGGATCTTGGTTGCTATGGAAGCACCACAAGATTTTCTGGCTATGGCCAGAAATACGACCCTGGGTAGGTGATCAGGAGCCTGTGGGTTATATCGAGGTTTCTGGATCGACGGTGATTATTGGAACAATTCCAGGTCGTGTTCTATTCTTCAAGTTTGATATACATAGTCTTCTCGGAATGCAGTAGAGGGTGATCATGGTATGCTATTTCGAGTTGGATAATTCGCCGTGGGGCATGCCATAGCCTAGCACTCCAAAAAAGGATATCCCATCCCTTATAACTCTCCGTCCTGCCAGTGCGAACCACGACCGAGATCTAGAAAGTCGTTTAGCCTTCAAGTGCGAGACAGAGTCTGTCATGTCACTAATACTGTCTAAGTTATCCTTTAGGTTGTTTATCATTGAGATATTTGTTCATGACTGTGATTTCGTCCATACCGCCGTAGCCTTATGGTAATCTCGATGATGCATAAAACCATACTCGTTTTCGGCAGTAATATAATGGATATATTCGACCTACGTCAACTCTAAGTCTCAAATTTAGTCGAACCGATTAGATCAATAAGGTTCCCAAATCCCATGTTCCCAATTTCCTTCTCAAAGCAAGGCTGCTCCAGCCATCACTGACGTACCTCGTGCTCTTCCAGCATCTTGATACTGAGAACATGCTATGGACGAGTTAGAGAGACAAGCAGTATTCTCCAAGTGGTGGCTTCTAGTCACTTAAAGAGCCGATCAAGCAAGATGGGAGATTATATCAGGTACCAAGAAGCCGACTTCTCTTTCTTCCTCTATCGCAATAAAGAGGGTAACCTAAATGGTTTCCATAACCACAGCATCAACAACACGAAGCATATCGCCACAACGACGCAACCGACAAAGACTTGCATAAAAATGATCAGTCCTTCAAGCAAATTCAACCTGAAGACAAAGATCTTTGCGATGCAGCCCAGAAGATTCTTAATGCAGATGCCTATGTCACAAGAGACCTGAATTAACTTAAGAAAAAGGGCGTGTCGTCCTTTCAGAGATTGGTCAAGGATTCACTTGATCCGCATTGAAAATAGGAGCACAAGAATAGCAAGGAGATTTGACCAGTAATGCCTATGGCTTCAAGAAATGGAATCCAGGAAGAGGTGGAGTTTCGTCAGAGGCTTTGTCAGTCGTCGACCAAAGAAGTGTAATGGTGACGATCACAGCAACGCAGTTGTGATGTCCTTTTGTCTGAAGGAAGGATAATTTAATTTCTCTTTGTCGGTAAAGTCATTTATGCGTATGTTGCAGAATCTCTTGTCATCGTACCTCATTTCTCAATCGACGATGTCGAAGTACCTATGAAACAATGAGGAACTTGGACAAAATACCGCTGCGAGAAGACATCGTAAAATTTGTTTCCTGTGCGAGATATGGATACAATGCAACAGGCGACAAATCGAGGAAAGAAAAAGACCCGCACCATCCAACAGCGACTCGTCGTACTTTGTCTAGAGTAGCAGCCTGGGTGGATGGTGAGTTTGGTCAATCACTCATGCACTGACATGAGGCATTCCTTGGAGGTTCAGGGTGAAACAGCGCCATGATAGACGACAGGAATTCATCGGATAATTGTTGTGTGACTTTGCTAGTGTACAAGATGCCTCAGCAGTACATAATTATGCTGCAGACTGGGATCCTACGCACTTATTCATGACTCTAGGAAATTGCTGCCCTTGACGACACTCACGCCATTCGGGCTGTGTGTTGACTCGATGCAACCCCGAAAAGCTAGAGCCACTAAATGCCACTCTGGATGTCACCAAGACGGCGCCTAAAAAAGGGCCCCAACAACACAGGGCTGAAAGTCCAAGTAGCAAGTATTTTGCCCACGACATCCCTATCACCTCGCCAAACCCGACATCCAAGATGTTATCCGATTCATGGATTAAAAAGCTTGTTACCCCTGCCCAGATCCTAAGCTTTACTCCAAATTCGCAGTCCAAACTCCAACGGGATTTTAACCCACTCACCTCGCAGGGATATTATTAGCCATGCTACGACAACGAGAACATGGGGGCCAAAATGAACCATGATTTGCGGATTGGATGCGGTCAGCTTACAGATCGTAGCCTGTAATACCATTTTGAAACCAGGGATCGTCATTATAAAGGCTCCAAATTGCGCCCCCATTTAATCCTGCCTTACTGATCCGCTGCTTTTCCCTGCCTGTCTCTTGGTTCTTCCCTTTCATTTATTGTTTCATTAGCGGTTTTTGATCGTCCTGAGTTGCGCAATGAGTCAACAACAGCATCTTCCGGATAGCGAAGGCCTCCAGGTCAATACAGACGCTGAACAAGCCGCCAAAGCTCCAGAAGTAGCTCCCGGTTACGATAACGGCAATTACTACATCCCTCCCGGTTATCATCATCCTCAGCAGGCGTCATCGGATGGAGTAAGGATTCCTTTTGGCCTTGGAGTTTGGACTTTCGCCGCGCTTGTCGCTCTATGTACGGCTATCGTTGTCGGCGCAGGTGTAGGTGGAGGATTGGGCGCCGCTTTGGCAAATAAATCGTAAGCTCCAGTCTTGAACGTGCTCAATTATGCTTGTTGACATGTCAATAGTAGTGATTGCTCAGTGGACTCGGCATCTGGTACCGCTCCCGCCGCGACAGCAGAACCAACCGCGACTTCATGCCCAACGCCCGACAACAGTACATCAGTCAACGACACAGCTCCCTATGTACCGAGAGCTGCTGATACAGTTAGCCTGCTGGAGTTAGATTGCCCCGAGTCCAAGAAAGACGAGACACGGTACAAGACCAACAAAGGCTACGAGTTCAAGTGGTGGTGCGGCGTCAACGCAGCACAAGGCACCCCAGCTGAGGGAGGAGGTATTGTTGCCGACTACGCGCCTATATATGCCTATACGATTGAAGACTGCATGGAAGCTTGCGGCAACATGATCGACAAAGACGCCGAGACCGGCAACGGAGTGAAATGCGCTAGCATCGTCTTTTCGAAGCGTATGAAGGACGAATTAGACGGTTTAAACGCGAACTGCTGGTTGAAGAATAATTCCAAGGCGCAGGTAAGTTTTCTGATCCAGCTTTTTAAGGGGCCGATGCTAATTTGATGATAGGGGAGTAATTGGGGTTTCAAGGACGATTGGTACGCATACGCGGAGCTGGACAACTGAATAAGCCGAAGTGGGGTGTTTGAGGCTGGCAGGCGTACTTAATGATGAATTGGATGTAGTTTAATTCTAGAAATGATACCAAACTCGGTCTCTGTAGGGGCTGAAGCTATTCCCAACTCACGACTCAACACCCGCGCCGTTAGAGATCGCGAAACAACAGACGAGAATTGTTAGGGGGAAATGAGCCCCAGCCCTACCGTTGCATCGAATTCTCGAATCGGAAAAGCCCTGCGCCTTTTTTGGCTGATCCTCAAGCTGTGCCAAGTTTTTGACAGTTGTTGGGGACAGGGATTGTAAGCACAGCCCTCGTGCCAAGGACAGAAGGATCAGTGACGCTGTTCGGCAGTTATTCACAGCACAAATGCCCTTTGTGTCGAGTTCTTTCATTGACAGCTTCACGATGAAAGGAGAGCATATTCATTTATTGCGCTGTAGGTACCTCCCTAGTCTTAAGTTTACCAGTGATAAGGTTGCTAAGGCTGAACGGGAGGGTCCACTATTCGGGCTAGCCCCACTCCCGTCTCTGGGACGCGGAGTTACTGTATCGCGTGGAATCGGACCATGCCCTGCTTTAAGCGAAGGGGTACGGCGAAGCGATGACGAGATACCGGTCAGACGTAGTCAGAAGCAACCTGCGAATATGTTTCCCTGAACTCAACCGAACACCCATCGATCACATGGATCTCTACAAAGAACAGGTTCTCCTGAACAATGTCAATGTTAGCTGCAATTTCTCACGAGGCAAGGACCATGATTACCTGGTATAGAATGATAATCATGACCTGCATGTCTTTGGATGATTCTGCTACATAAAACTCAGCCTAAGCGCTCTGGCGATCCAGGCGCTTCAACACTAACCCTACTCTGTATCCCTATCAGTCTGCTCATATTCACCAATGCTCAAGTCCTTCGTCAGCTTTGCTTGTCCAGCAAGAAAACTATATCGACTCAGGGACATCAGGAATCGCAAAGCCCTGACCGTCCATCCACATATCCCCATATTCCCCTGGGACCTTCCACGCCAGAACAAAGAGCCCTTTAAATATAGACCTGCGAAAGTTTGGCTTGTTCGACCTGCATATTTCCGCCATTTCCTCCTCACCTGGGCCGGAGACAACACGCTGGTCCCAATGATCTACCAACTTGGGCACGTCTGTCACGCGGACAAGGACCACCTTCATATCTCCCTCGGGCTTGGGAACCACATAGTCCACTGCATCAGCGGCAGCATGGATCTGTAGGAGGGAATTGACGGCACTCGAGGGCGTGTGAGCTTCCACGACGGCCCACCGGAGAAAGCCGCGCAAGAGAGTATTCTCGCATTCGGTGATGAACTTGAGAACGGATGACTCGAAGGTGAAGTATCGGGATTTCGGATGGTCAGCCGGCATGAGGTCTTTAAGCTCCCTCAGAAGCGAATATAAATAGCCGTGTGCGAGAGACACGGGCAAAATACGCCAGTCTGAGATATCATTTTCGGCCCAGAAGCCCAACAGATCGAAAACATCTCCATGCTTTTCGTACAAGTCATCCAACGTTTCCCTCTGCGCTGCGGAATAGTCAGAGTCATGCATTCCACGAAGGTTGTGTTGTGCTTCAGCCACAGCCTTCGAGAAAGAATCTAGCCTCTCAATACCACATCGGACACAATCGAGGGGGTTCATCTTTGACAGCGGTATAGAGAAAATAAGTGTGAGTTAGCAGGATGGGGTGGTTATATGTGACGGAATGATAAGTCGTTTGTGACTGTCGTTGTTAGTTAGCTGGGGTGGTGAGTGTCAAGTCAAGATGCTAAGAAGCTTGATAGGAAGAATTTATGCAAGAGTTCTTGTCTTTTTATATGTTTGCTGAATAAACTCAGTTGCATCCTCTGCAAGGCGCTAACCAGCGAAGAACCGTGCTGGTTGGCGCTGACACTGGTTTACGGTTTGTTACGGGGTCACCGAATAGGAGCCAGGTGGTAATGAATACAGGAGATGGCTTGAGCAATAAGTTGTTCAGTTAGAAATCCTTTATCTGTCCTTTGAGCTCGAATAACATTGCATAATACTAGTTGCTGATGATTATGTACAAAGACTTCAGACAAACTTACCAAATCTTTGTTCATCTTATGATTTGTCCCCGTAATTTCAAGCTGAACGGCCGGACAATAGCTAACATTGAACTGCTGGTTGCCAAACTGCCTGGACTGTAATCTTCCCTTCTTTTATGAATAAAGGTGCAAGGTGAAGCCAGTTTTATTTCTCTTCCTAGGGAAATGAAAAACTGTTCTTTCACGAGAACTGAGCACTGAGCAAAGGGCGAAACTACGGCTCCCTCACGCCTTGTCCTAAGTGAAGTGTGAATCTCGGATGTGTTGCAGTATGTAGCAATCATTTAAGGCATAACCGTGACAAAGGCCTAATGGAGTACTATTTTCCTGGACTGCCAGTCCAAGGTTTCCCCTTGTGGCCAGCAATTATTTGTCTCTTGTTGCAGTTTTCATCGGTGGGGTGCACAATAGGCTCTGGAAATGACAATGCGTTTGTCAGGATATGTGTTTGGCAAAGGACATGGTTGAGGCCCATGTCGTACTAATAATTTCCGAGCATTCTTTGTCTGACCGGGACCATCAATGAAGGTTTCACGCCTCAGTAAAGGAACTCTTTGTCGTAAGGATGAATAAACCTACGTCATAAGATTTCTGTAAGTTTAACGAGCCACGGGTCTGGACAACAGACATCTAGCTCGCCGTCTACACTTCTCACAAAAGCACACCAGGTTTAGGGTGAATATAGACCATTGACCCGAAGCCTCGGCTAAGATAGTTTAACTTCATACTAGGTAGGAGTAATGGCATGAACGGGCTCTTATCACTTGGACTATTTCGTGCTTCCCGTCCTCAGTCGAGTCCCGATTGAAGCTCAACATTCCACAACTTCTTATCCAAATACTCCATCTGCTCAGTTCGATACGTGTCATTCTCAACATGAACCACAGACGAATCATCAATATGAAAGACCATATTCTTCCCTTCATTCCACTCATACTCAGGCCACTGAACATCCCCCATACCTTCAAAGTTGGGGTTCATCTTGCTCGCAAAGCAAATCCACATTCTTGACATCTTAACAGCCACTTCGTCAAATGACCCAGGTCTCGGCTCCGTGGCGTTTAACTGAGCCAATCTTTCATAATTGCGGAACACGAATGGGATATCAACCGAGTGTCCAGCTCCTTGGATTGCTGGGCGATCACCTGATACAACGTCGAAGTGATAACTATACGCAGTGGCATTGCTCTTTGCCCATTTCCTATTCCAAGCTCGTTTGGGTGCATGCATAGCTCGATCACCGCCAAAGGCTACCGCGCGCTTCCACTGCAACCCATACGAAGCCGATGGGCCTGACGGGCGACCTATGAAGGTCGCAGGAAGGCCAACACGAGGAATATCGGGGTACAGAGCTGAAATGACTTCGATTGTAGAATTACTTGCGCCCTCTTTTCGCAGATATGCCTCCCACTGCTGTGTCGTGTTGATGCCACGCTGGGCGAAAAAGTCGCCGTCGTCTGATGCGACTCCATTGATGATTGGCACTGGAACGAACTTATTATGACGAACGAGCTCTGAGCGACTATCTCGAATGAAGTCGCCGTCAATAATGTCTAGCCAAACTGGGAACGAGACATTGCCGACGATCTGAGCGAGTTCCAGTGACGGCACCTTTCGCAGACACTGCAGAGAATTCTTAGCAGAATCGCAGTCGGTCCTCCTGAGAAGCGTCTTGTACCCCTTCTCAAAGGTTGGTGCGTCCTTGTCCTCCACCTCTCCAAAGGCCGTGGGAAAGCCAGTACCACTCTCGAGAATAGCTGCTCTAAACAGCCCATCGTCTCGGCCGTCGAAGGCAGTCAATTGAGACGCAACACTTCGTGCTCCTCCACTCTGGCCCCAAATTGTGACCTTCTTGGGATCACCCCCAAACGCTGCGATGTTCTCTTGGACCCATTGAAGAGCAAGTCTCTGGTCGCGGAAGCCATTATTTCCAACACCTGCGGCCTTGACAGCGGAACTCCAAAGGAAGCCCCATGCTCCAAGACGGTAGTTTATTGAGACGCCGATAATGGGCGAGCCTAATTTAACAGACTCGTCGATGATGTAGCTGAGGTTCGAAGAGGGATCGCCACTGTAGCCTCCAACAAGGCCGCCGCCATGGATCCAAACAAGGACAGGAAGCTTCTCCTTCGTTGCTGCAGACGGGCGAACGACATTTAGATGTAAGCAATCATCAGTGCCGCCTGAAAGAGATCCGGAAGGATACCCGTACTGATAACACTTGGACTGGTACTCTGTCGCATTACGCACTCCGTCCCAGGTTGAGTTCAATGGCTGAGGGTGTCGAAAGCGCAGATCGTTCAGCGGTGCCTGAGCATATCTCATACCAAGGAACAAGTCCTGGTTGTACGCAGTGTTATGAGTACCATAGTAGGACCCATTCTTCAGTTCAACAACGGGACTGTTTCGTGGTACTGAAGCAGCGCCCACGGCAACCGCCAAAGCCAGAATAAGAGAAGAGCCCAGCATCGTTGCCAAGTCTGCACAAACTGCAGATCCCTCTCACGGGCCCAAACAAGATATATATACTCTCCACTTCAAAGCACTTACACCACACTTGCTGAAAAGCGGCCACCGGCACCGAGCATGAGAGCAGACGGCCCTCGGCGCCGCGACCGAATATGGGGTCTCCCCACACTCCGGACTCCGGGGTTGCGGGGAAGATCCCTGAATAGCTTCAGATTTCTGCACCTCTAGCATGCTTTGGGACGAACTACCCGGGCGTACTTCGGTACTCGTGGGTAAATGGCGGCTGTTGTGCCTTGGTTCGAGGGATCGGTGGGCCAGATGATGCGTTTGACAGGTACTGAGATGGCTTGAGGTGGTATTGAGACGGGGGAACATTCGCCGATGGATATCTCGTGGCATGGAAGGTGGAAAGTTCGGCGAAGGTCTCAACGGGTTGTGC